CCCTCTCTGCTCCGTGGCAGCTCCCTGGTGTGACTAACTGTGGGCTGAAAGCTCAGTTGTATCTATTTACGAGTGCTGCCTAACTTAGCAGCATCAGTTCTGGGTCTGTGGCCCCCTGAGGCTAGAGAGCTAGTAGAGCCTCCTGCCCTCAGAATGCTGGGACCCCAGGCAGAAGAAGGGCCATGAGGGACTCGGGCATAGAACTCCCTCCTAGGTTTAGAAGGGCACTTCACCAGTTGGTAGAACGAAGTAGGTTCCTTCATCAAAGCAACGACCACTTACGTTGTAGGTTCCTTCATCAAAGCAACGACCGCTTACGTTGTTGAGTAGTCAGTAGTAGACGGTGGTGAATCCGAACTCATTTAATGGTAACTCACATTTACAGGGTGCTTTGGAGGGTCACTGAGGAATGGTCTTGTTGAGGGAGTCTGCACAGCGCCATCGGGGGCAGCGGGTGGCATAGTGGGTAGAGCGCCGGGCCTGGACTCAGGAAGACACGAGTTCAGATGTGGCCTTAGACCCTTCCTCGCCGTGTGGCCCTGAGCAAGGCGCCGCACCTCTCTCTGTCTGCCTTAGTTTCCTCGTTAGTAAATGGGAATAATGATCATACCTGCCTCCCGAGTGGTTGGAGCATCAGAGATACTTGGGAAGCTCTTTGCAAAGCTGATTGAACTCTATAAACACTGGCTCTTGGTGTGGCGATTCTAGGAAAGAGCAGACGCTTCACAAAGACGTTGAAAACAAAGGATTTGGGATGTATCCCAGTAATCCTGAGAGGAAAAGTAGCCTAGAGCACTGGATGTGGACTCGGGGAGACCTGGTTTTAAGCCCTGCTTCTGTGTGATCTGGGGCAGTCACTCAACCAGCCTCTCTGTAACTATCTGCATCAGGGAAGGGAGCTTCCCTCCTTCCCTCCTGACTCAGGGACCCTCAGTGGGTCTCAGAGCAGGGGCTGACCTGCGTTGCTGTAGAGACTGCCTTCACTCGCATGTTTCTGGGTCGGTGAAATCGGAGCCTCATCTGGCAGCCGAGGAGTAACCCAGCCGACTAGACTGTGTGGAACATATATTCAGCTCCCTCTCATATGATCGATCCTCACTACCGCTTCGTGAGGTTAAGTGATGCTTTGTCCCCATCTTCCTTCAGAAAATGGAGGCTCAGAAGTGAAGGGACGTGACTGTGGTCAGCCAGCTGGTTAACGGAGCGCTGTCAGTACAGTCATTACACACCCCATGTTGATTAACATAAAAATCATAACCCCTTCCCGTGGTCATATCTGGAGAGCACCAATGAGTCCTGCCCTCAAGGAGCTTCCAGTGGGCGAGACAACACGTTCACAACCGTGGACAGACGATCTACATGGGTGCCAGCTGGAGATTGTCAGGGGGAAGGACTTCGCGTTAAGGAGGGCAGGGATTGGGATATTAGCAGAGACTTGAGGGAGGCGGGAGAGAATCCCTGGCCTGGGGCATGGCCAGTGAGGATGCCCACCATCAAGAAGTGACCTGTCTGGTGTGAGGAGGGAGGCCAGCGTCACTGGATTGGATTCCCCTGGTGGGCGAAGGGGAGTCAGAAGGCAGGAAAGGTAGGGAGGGGCCGGGCCAAGCCAAGTAGAGGATTCTGTGTAGAATCTGGAGACAGTCATAGGGAGCCACTGGAGTCTACAGGGTCAGACCTGGCTTGGGGAAGGTCACTTTGGCAGCGGGGTGGAGGATGGAGCAGGGTGAGGAGAGACTGGAGGCAGGGGGGCCCACCAGTGGCTGCCATGGTGTGAGTCACTTGGCCACGGTGTTTGAACCCAGGCTTCTCTCTTCTGTGAGAAGGCCGTGTTGTGTTCATTCTGCACCAGCCCCGGGCCTCTCTCTTAGATGGTTTTGGGTGGAATGGAGAGCTGAAGGTCTGGAGATCTGAACCTGGGTCCTCAGACTGCAATGGGTTTTCACCGTCTTGCCAGGTTAGAACCCAGAAGGTCTGGGAACTCAGCCTCTCAATGCTAGGTTATGCTAATACCTCATTCAGTGGAAGAGACCCTGACACTGTTTGGGTATTTGTGAACAAGCCTTACGCCCGAGCTGTGCAAAATGATTGTTCATCGTCTGGGTACTCAGGGGAGGCAATACAGAGTACGGACCCATGCTGACTCCTCTGGGGTGGGGGGAAGGACATATTAATCGATCCAGAAGCATTTCTCCAGCGTCTGCTGTGCCCCATGTATTTGAAGAGCATGCCTGGAAAGGAGGGATGAGCTTTGTTCTGCTCCATTGACCCTGGGGAGCAGAACCAGCAGCAAGGGCTGCATGTTTCATGGGGGCAGATGTGGGCTTCCCTTCTGGAAAAGCCCCTCGAAGCGGAGTCAGGGAGTTTCTCCTTGCCGGCAGTTTTCAGACAGTCTGCCAGCCTGGGAATCTCCTCGGGATGGGATAAAGGGGAGAGGCCTTCCGAGACCTGTGATTTCTGCCTTTTGCCTGATCATCCTGGAGCACAGTGGGCTTGTTGGCAGAACATCCAAAGGTGGTCAGACGGAGACACAGACATCGGTATGGCAGGGACGAGTGCCCGACTCTGGGAAGGAGTAACACCACATGCTGAATCGGGACTTAAAACCTCCGAGGGCCACAGTGGTCTCAGCTTCCCTGAGCTTTCAGTCCAGTGAAATGGCCTTCGACAGTCAAGACCCTCAGGCTGGCCCTTCCCACAATTATGGGTCTGGTTTTTTTTTTATCCTCTCCTAAGCTAACTCTTCATTTCCCTCTGTGATTATCTCCAGTTTATACTGTATATATTTTATCTGTACATAGTTGTTGACATGTGGGAATAAAAAGATAAAACAAAAAAAAATATTCCTGCCTTCAGGGAGTGTTTTTGGGAGGGGTGGAGAGAGATATAAAATATGATTAGATAGACGTTTATACATGAGAATTTGAGGTGGAGGGAGAGCGCTTAGCTCTGGAGGGCTCAGGAAAGGCTTTGGATCGGTAGTGTTCTGTGAGCTGAGCTTGGAAGGAGGCTAAGGATGCCAAGAGGCCAAGCTGAGGAGGGCATGCATGGAGGACAGCCTGAACAGAAGCAGAGCTGGGGGAGGGCTCAGAGTGTGAATGGGGAACAGTGAGGACCCCAGCCAGGCTGGAACATGAATAGAGAATGATGACTGCAGAACTCGCCAGAAACATGGATCATGGTGCGGGAGCTGGAGCTGCTATTGTGGGGTTTGGTTGAAGGAACTCGGGGCATTTAGACTGGAAAGGAGCAGCTTGGTGGTGGCGGCAGTAGTAGAGGCGGGGGTGGTGGTGGTGGTGGTGAGATATGAAAGCTGTTCTGTGTTTGAAGGGCTGCGACGTGGAGCAGGGTTTATACTTATTCTGCTTGACCCCAGAGGCAGGACCAAGAGCAGTGGGGAAGTTGAGGCCAGATGTCCAGAAGAACTTGCTGACAGAGATGTCCCAGAGAGCGCTGGGTGGCCTATGAGATGGCGAGTTCCCTTACTTGTTCAGGCTGAGGCTGGGGGATGGCTTGTGGAGTGGGTGGGTTGTAGGGGCAGTTCCTTTCAGGTCCAGGTGGGGCTAGCTGGCTTCTAAGGCCCTTTGCACCCCAATTTCTTGATTCGGATTCTCTGTGACCCAACATCTATATTTTGTACATGGAGTCAGTGTTTCACTTTCCCCACCCCACCATATTCTCTCTGTGGCAGTTGTATTGTTCCTAGGTAATTATGGGAAGGGATGGAAGTGCTGGTGGGGTGAGCCCTCAGGCCTTTTCTGGGAGGCTGAGTGCTTGGTGTTTGTTGGGTGTGTGGATGCGAGGGGGAGCCAAGCAGGGTCTGTTGGCCCTTTACAAGAGCGAGTGGCGTTACAGACATACTTTCCCAGGATTCTTGTTGGCACGCACTGTGGGCTTGGCATTAACACTGAGTGTGGCGGATAAAGGATGAATATTTCATTGGGCTTAATGCATCACAATACGCCATTACAGGGTTGGGCTGGTTGTCTTAAAGCCAGAGCTGTTTGAATCAAATCAGGTGCTTCTGGAAGCCTCTAAGTGTGCTTATAATTGTCGATATTAAGCATTGGAGGGGCATGTTCCAAGCAGAGTATTTTCTACTACAAATGAATAGTGAGGAAATCAAGGTCTTGCTAATTAAAAAATTAATAAACTATTAGTGGTAGACTGCTTAATTTTTCCTGTTTAGAATTTTCCTTTAACATAATTAGGAAATTTAGTCTGCAAAAAAAATCTGAGGATGCAGTCTTCTAGCTGAGCTTTCTCCTCATGGTTACCTCATTCATGGCTTTCATTTTCCCCATGAAAAAGCTGGGCTCAGAGACTTGCCTCATATCACACGGGGATTTGAATCCAGGTCCCTTCAGTATGTAGTATGTCTGTGGAGCGTGCTGTTTCGTTATTTGTTAATTTTTTATCATGAAGTTTAAAAACATCAACAAATATGACTATTTCCATAAACAAACAGAAGATGGCCATCTGAAAACCTGTGACTTTCTGTTATGTACAGTTTTAAAGAACATAATAGATTTATATTGACCATGAATTTGCTTTAGTGAGGAGGTGCTAACCTGAATTGGTAGGAGGTTTGTCACATGGGAGTTTCTTATTCCCAATAAAATTGTCACTCGGGCCATATCCTTGTATTAAATTTAATGAGGTAGTAACAAAATGTAGCACATTTTCCATATGAATTTGCTTATAAACGTAGGCCTTGTAATGAGCTGAAGAGAGGCCCGGAATTCATGCCAATGAGCACTTGCGGTTTTTTTCACTCTGATCATGTACCAATGAGATTATTTAGGGAATGACTCCCTTTTTTAAAAAAAAATCAACCATAGGGAGGGACAAGTTCGTGGGCTGGCCTTTTCCAGTTTCCTGAGTTGGAGTGTGATTTAGCCCCAAAGGAAACTGACATTCATATGAAATTGATCCTTTCCCTTTTCCCTTTTCCTTTTGCAAATTTCTGTCTCCTTTACCATATGCGTGCTTTTGTTTTCCAGCAAGCCAGGGCTGAGCAAGAGGAGGAGTTCATCAGTAACACCTTGTTCAAGAAGATTCAGGCCTTGCAGAAGGAGAAGGAGACGCTTGCTGTGAATTACGAGAAGGAAGAAGAGTTCCTCACTAATGAGCTCTCCAGAAAACTGATGCAGGTAAATTGTCCTTTCAGCCCTCCCTCCCTTCCTCTCCAGGGAAGTCTAGTTAGCTGGTCTAGCAGGTTGCTTGAAATGTTTGCTGAGGAGGAGGAGGATCCTGAGAGGTTGGGGTGACTCGGACGGAGCTGACAGAAACGTGTGAGGCTCCTGGGGTATTTCAGGGGCCTCTCTGTTGCCACAGGATCAGCCTTTGCTTTTCATAAACATTTTCCTTAACATTTCATGTTAGAACTGTGGAAATATGTAGGACAAGTCAGTAAATGGTTCGCATCCTTTGGCCCAACAATCCCCCTGCCAACACTACCCAGAGGAGGCCGATGTCAGAGGGAAAGGCTCTCTGACAGGGTCGTCACGGCAGTAGGCTTTGTGGTAGCCGAAAACCAAAGACATAGTTGTCCATAGATCCAGGGAATGGTCGAAGAGATGGTGGTATATAAATAGAGTGAGATACTACAGTGTCATAATAAAGGATGACGATTTAGGGCATTCCAGTCATATTTTTTTTTGTTTTAATGATGGCCATTTTTAGAGAGGGCAGTCAGTTTAAGGAGGGGATGGATAAGGTCTGGAGGAAATCAGAGAAATATCGAAGAAACATCATTAGGAACTGATGCAGAGCAGAGCAAACAGCCAGGAGGAGCCTGTACACAGTGACTTAAATACCAGTGAGTGATGGCCCTTGAAAGTACTGAGCTCCTGTGAACTGTATTTTATGTAGCACGTGGTGCCTGTGGAGCTCCGTGCTTGGCTCTGGGGACCTAGGGACAAAAACCAAACCACTCCTGCCGCAGTGTATAACCTCGTCTGGATGCCTGACCCGGGGGCAGCCCTCCCTGCACTCAGTGAAGGGAGATGAACGGGGAAGGGGGTGCAGCACAGCAGCTGTGCGTTGGCAGAAGAAGCTGCTGGGTTGATTGGCTTGGTGTAAATACTCGGTAGATACAGGGCTCACTGTATTTTGGGGTGAGGACAAGGGGAAGAAGCACTTCTTGTCTGAATGCCCCGAGCCTTCCTTGATTGATAAAACTTAAAAAAACCCAACAACAAACCAGCTTCCTTTTGGTGATGGGGGCTGAGCTTCTCCCTGGGAGTCCTTAAGGACCAAGGATTGTAGAAGTATGGGGTTAACTCCAAATGTTAATGGGTTTTTTTTTCCTTTGTGCAAATGAAGGCATTGCACATCCTTCTGGCACTGAGTAAGCTCAATGTGAGAGTTAAAATGGGGGCAAAGAGAAGGCAATGTCGGTTTTTTTCCGTAGAAAGGAAAATCACAACCTTGTCAGTTAAATGCCACAAAATGGATTATGTCATGCAAATGACTGATTAATGCCACATTCTCACCACGTGACAGAGAAATGGAAGGGCTTTTTAAGGTTACTTCTTAACACTCACTGACTCTTAGGCAAGGTGTTTGGTGATCTCACTCCCTGGCTTTTCCCCCCACTACTCGCCCAGACCCCATTACCTAGTGTGTCATTGTTTCTGAGCTAGAGTGGAATCTTCTTGAAGGCAGGGATGCTTTTTTTTTTTTCTCTTTATCTCCAGAACCAAGCATGGCCTCTCTGGCCTGGGACAGGCTCTTAAATACTCTGGATTGCTCTGTGGTGCTGTACCTGGCACACCCTAAATAAGCAGCAGATGAGCCCTGGGTCTTGGAAGTACAAGGACCTCCCAAGCCGTCCCTTCCAGTCTCATGTTATCGATAAGGAGCTGCAGCCTCGGGTGGTGAAGTGACTCACCCCAGGCTGCAGAGTAATGAGTGATAGAGCCAGCACTCGAACCCAGACCCTCAGCCCTTGTACCATACCTGCTGTGATATGGATCCCTGTTTTTGCTTCTCTGAATTTACCAGTTAAGCATAGGTTAGAAATGTTGTTGAAATAATAGAGATTTACCAGCATCTCTCGGACTTGACTTGTTTCACAATATGGGCATCGCAGACTTGATAACACAAGTCAGCCGTGATATTTTTCAGTTGCCTCATCACTACATTGTGCCTTGGGACCATCTGCCCCTTGTAACATTGTTTTACCTAGAGTCCTGTTTTTGTGGAACCAACGATATCCTTTGGGTTAGCCCAGTGGTTCTCCAACTTCATGTCCTAAAATCCCTTTACGATCTTTGGTTTTTTTTTTTGGCTAGGCAGTGGGGTTAAGTGACTTGCCCAGGGTCACATAGCTAGTAAGTGTTAATGTGTCTGAGGCCGGATTTGAACTCAGGTCCTCCTGAATCCAGGGCTGGCGCTCTATCCACTGCGCCACCTAGCTGCCCCCCTTTACACTCTTAAGGATTATCGAGGACTTCACATTTTTAAAAAGTTCTCTGCTTATGTGGACTCGGTCTATCGATGTTTATTGTTTGAGAAATGGAAATATCTTTGTATTATTATGACAGTACTTTTAACCTCATGAACCCTCTGAAAGGGGACTCTCAGGGGCCCCCAGACCACACTTTGAAAACTGCTGGGGCAGGTTTTCACTTTGCAAAGTACTGAGACCCTGTCATTGAGACGTTGTCACTGCGCTTAGCTTGGATTGTCCAAACTAGAAAAGAGTAAAGGCTTTCCGGGAGAGCTGACGGGATTGGGGAGGGACCGCAGAGTGAGGAGATCACTTGGTGACGGAGGATGCGGTCACGTCATCCCTCGGGCTTTCCCCAGGGCTTTGCTCCACCTGTGCTCAGATGAGGATGGAGGCGGACGGTTGTTGGCTTGCTTCTTGGGGAGCTCAGATGCAATGTGGCCCTTCCATTCACCTCTCCCTCCCCCGAGACCTGTGCCTTCTGCCGTCAGTCAGGCACAAAGCCCCAGAGCCGTCTTGGACTCTCATCCCTCGTCCCTCCCCACGTCTGGGTGGTGACCACAGCCTGCAGAGGCTGACCCCGCCAGATCTGCCACATCCCTCTCTCCTCTCCGGTCGCACGCCCACTTCCCACCTTCCCTTCATCCTTGACGCCTCTGCTTTGTGAACTGTCATTCACATGGTCTCCTTCTCACCCCAGTCATAATCCCCGCCAGTATTTATATGTTGCCTACTGTGTGCCGGGCACACTGCTTGATCCTCTCCACAACCCACTGGAGGAAGGTGCTGTTATTTCCCCATTTTATAGATGAGGAAACTGAAGACAGAGGCTGAGTGACTTGCCCAGGGTCCTATAGTTAGTGTCTAAGGCCAGATTTGAGCTCAGGTCTTCCTGCCTATCTCCTGTACTACCTAGCTGCCCAGTTAAGTTGTAAACTCTCTGAGGGCAGGAATTGTGGGTGAGTTTTTTTGTCCTCCTGTCTCTGTGTTCCCAGTGGTAGCTCATGTAGTAAGAGCTTCATGAAAGTTTGTAGAATTGAATACCAGCTTGGGTTCAGATTGTTTGTGGAAAGATGAGTGGAGGAGATAGGAAGGAAGCTGTGGGCAGAAGCGCTTGTCCGCCTGCTGCTGCTGCTGCTGCTGAGTGATTGATCTTTGGCCTCGCAGAGGACACGTCCTCCCCCAGCCTTCTAGAGATCTCTTCTTCACCATTCTCAGCCGTCCAGCTGCCCGATCCCACCAACGCTGACTTTGCCGACATGATGCTGGCCGTATCTCCTCATGGTCTCCTCATGGCTCCACCATTTTAGAGCTAGAAGAGACCTAAGAAGTGTGGTCTGGACCTCTTCTTTCAATTTTCTCAGTAGAGGAAACTGAGGCAGCTGTTTGGGGAGAGGCAGGAAGTGGCCCTTAAGCTGAGCTTTAAAGGAGACGAGGGATGCTGTGAAGTGGGGGGAGCAGAGTGTTTTCTGGGAATCTGGGACACAGCTAGGCCAGAGCCCAGAGATGCAACTTGTAACATCATGTGTGGGAGAAACAGCAAGGAGACTATTTTGGCTTGGGACAAAGGGCAGGAATAAATACAATTGACCTGGAAAGGGGGTCAGAGCTGAGTCGGGCAGAGCTTCGAATGCCAAGCAGAGGAGTTGCAGGGGGCCTTTGGGGCTTATTGAACAGGGAAGCATCAGGGTCAGACCTGTGCTGTAGGAAATGCCTTTGGCCCTGGTATGGAGGTGCTATGGGAATGGAGGAGAGATGTGAGGTGGGAGACCTTGCTCAGGATCAATCACACAGGCACGAAGTAAGCACGCCAGAACTTGGGCCTGCCTTCTTGGCCCTTCCTTCCCACTGTCCCTGACTATCCCATTCTCTCTTCTCAGGCAGCAGGCATTTATTAAGTGCCTGCTGTGTACCTCGCACCGTGCTCAGTGCCAGAGATGCAAAGAGACAGTGAAAACAGTCCCTTCAGTCACAGGCAGAAGCCCCAGGTTCCTTCTCAGAACCACTGGGGGCTGCCCTGAGACTCTTCAGCCTCTTGACGGACAGCAGGGTCTGGAAGAGCCTGGGGCGGCTGGGACCGTGCCAGTCACCTGCCCAGAATAGGAAGGCAGACGGCCATTGCATGTCTAAGGACTGGCTGCTTTTAGCAACAGAGGAGAGGTCTTGAAAGACGCCTTCTGCAGTGGTATGGGCAGAATCTTGGCAGAAGGGATCCCAGAGGCTGGCCAGGCCAGCTCTGCTGAAGCAGGGAGGCTGCATCTTCTGCACCTGATCACTGAGCCTCCCTGCTGGGGCAGCGGCTTCTGCTTTGTGGCAGCCCAGGTTTGTCTTGATTGGAAGCCCGGCCCTCCTTGCTGGTTCTCCAGCCCTGCCTGCCCTTTGGGCGGTTGTCCTTCTGAAGTTTGAAGGTGGCCACTGGGCCCCTGGAGGCTTCTCCCCCTCATTTCCTCACGCTGATCCCATTGCTCCTCAAGGGCCGTCAGCATTGCGGCCACGTTTCTGGAGTGCCCTTCCCCAAATGTGGCACCGTTCATTCATCCAGTAAACATTGATTAAGTGCCTGCTGTGTGCCAGGCATTATGCTAAGCCCTGGAACCAGGGCTAACCCAGAACTCCGCGCAATCCTATAGGAGAACATGCGTGAATCTCACTGGGCATGAACTTGGCCCAGTTAAACAGCAGGAATAGGAGGGCGGAGGTGGCCTTGGCTCAGATTATGATAAAAGCCTTTTTTGGCATGGAAGAAGAGACCTTGGAATTTAGGCTTTGCTGGGATGGCCGGACGTTTCGCCTGACTGGCTTCTCTTCTTCAAGGTTACCATTCCTATGGGAAGATAAGATTGCTCACACCTCCAAGTTGTACCAGGCAGATACAGGAAAAGTGGATTTTCTTGTTTCCATATTGTTCAGACCTTGTGCTGTTAGGTCTTTGTTCTTTTCCTGAGACCCTGACGTCCTTCCCCACTGCATTCACTTGACATCTGGAAAGAGCTGCGGGGTGTTTCTGATTCATTAGAAGTGCTTAGGCTGCCCATTGCCAGAGTCCAGTCCTTGCTTCAGGAGCTGGGCGAGAACCTCCCTGCCCAGTGTCACGCGCATCACTCTACGTGGGCGGACAGTTTTCCCATTTTCAGAAGGTATTGGCCTTTTGTTGATAATGGCTCTGTTCTGGTGAGCCACATTTCACACAAACATTTTTGCAAATGCAAAACAGATCCCCAGCCACTCTCCCATCCTCTTGAAGTTGTTCCCTATCATTTTCGTTTTGTAATGCCTTGGGCTGGCTTTTTTTAAATGTCTCTCGAAACTTAGGCAGTGAGCTTAAGAAGTATTCCTTGCACATGGAAGCTGGCTATCCCATTACACTTGTTATGTTGTTAGATATACATTATTATATATTAAAATTTTAGCAGATCAGTCTTAGACTTACTATGAGTATGTCTGCTTTGACTCAGATAAATCACAGATTTCATTCAAATCTGCCTCTTTTGATAGATGAGCAGACTAAGGCTTGCCCAAGTCCACGAATGCGCCGTAGCTGGCTCTCCTTTAGACACCATGGTCTCCTCTGAAATGTAGTCAGGGAACTCAAGAATCGTTCTGTGGAACTGGATTCTAGACGTGACATCGAGAATGCTTTGGTGTCAGATCATCTCCCTCTGCAAAATGTGGGGTGTGGGCTAGATGATCTCTGAGCCTCCATATTCTCTAAATCTGGGTTTCAGTCAGAATTATACGGCATCATAATAAGGAAGCGCCATTAGGAATCTCCAGTCCAGAAAGGAGCACATGCCTGTTACGTTGGTCTCTGTCTGCCCCTGATCTTAGCAGCTCTTAGATGCTGGGCATTGGCCATAGGAAGGCAGCCCCTACCCTGAAGAGCACAGCCCTTTGGAGCCTGCTGCATGTTTGGGTGAACAGAGTCTCTAAGCTTGATAAACCAGGATCCCCAGAGTCTGATAGCATCAGCCTTGGAGAGGCTAGCAGCGGCCTGGGCGTCCTGGCTCTTGTCTAGTCTGATCCTGGCCGATGAAGAAAGTGGGCCCTGGCCAGGTTGCCAGATGCTTGCCCAAGGTAACGGCGAGTAAGCGCAGAGCTTTCCTGGCTTCCTGTGCAGGGCTCGCTCTCTGCTGCACTGCCGGGAGGTAGACCGCCCAGCTCTGATCTGGGGTCTTATGAGTTAAGTCTTCGATAAGCCCCTGCTGTTTATTTTTTTTCCCTACAGAGAATACACTCCAAGGATTGGTACCATGTTTATATATATTTTTCACAACTCAAAAGGTAGAGGTTTTGTTTGAGAGGACAGCTTCCATTTTAAGGGCAGAGAAAGACTTTGCATCGTAAAATGGGATTAGAATCCTCCCCATGGCACTTGCTACCTGGTCTATATTCGCATTTATTTACTTTATGCTGTGTTTTATGGCTGCTTGCAGTCTCCCGTTTTAGCTCATAAGCCTCAGGATTTTTTCATTCTGTGTCCTTGTGTCCGCAGCGCCCAGCAGGGCCTGGCACGCAGTAGGCACTTCATGAGCATATTTCTTGACTGATCCCTAGTGGGATGTAGGCTGAAGTAGGCTCTCAGAAATGTCCAGGCCACATCATGTCTGTTAGCCTTGCCATTCTGTGGCGGCAGTGACGTGTGGCTTGTCATCCATCCATGCTAGACCTTCTCTGACCCTGGCGAGGTGTTGTCACATTGTGATGGAACCCGGGTTATCTGCCATTTGTATCCGGAAAAACCACCATGACAGAATGAGGCCTTGGCTCTCTGGCTGTACTTCCCAGGGTGACTGGAGAATCAGAGAAGTGTTCTTCTGAGCCTGTTCTCTCAGGCGTGGGTTCCTACCTCCTTTGGATGGAATGTTGGAAAACACTTAGATTTTCTTTGAATTTAATCTGTGGTTCATCTTCCATATTAATCTCGTGTTTTATTTTTGTCCTGTTGGTTTTCACATTTTGCCAGCTGCTACTTTCACAAGTGAGTTTTGGTTTTTTTTTAAATTTCCAAGACAGTGCTTTACATTTTGTTTCCTGTTTTCTCATTAAAAAACAAAACCACGCAAGTTACCCAGCTCCCAAACTGTGATGTCTCCTGAGTCACAGCAGAAGAGACCAGGCAGCAGGACTCTTTGTTTCAGTTCTGTTGTGGGCGAAAGTGAATTCTGTGTTTCTTGGCTTTTTAGTGCCCAGTCTAGAGCTTATTTTCCAGATGTGTGAGAGTCTCAGAGATCACCTCACTTCAGTCCTGAAAGGTGTGATTTTTCTAGATGTTCCTCAGGGGTAGTTTTTGAGGGGAACATTTCTTTGTGAAGTTCACATCTCATTTAAACGTTATACACCTACCATATCTGTGTTGTCTGAGTTTAAAAACAAAACAAAACAGCACCAAACCTAATTAGATGTTGGCCATGATAACAGGCATCACTGACTTCACTGGGATCTCACAGTGTGGACACTCGCACTCCAATGCAGATCCACAGCCGGTTGGTAGTTTGTGATCTGAGAGAATTGTGCCTGGCTTGTCTGTGATCATATAGCCAGTATGACCAGGGGAGGCTTTAACTCCAGTCTTCCTGACTGACCCTTGCACCTTGTCTGCCTCTCAAAGATACTTATCGCTTCAAAGAAATGCACATAAAAAGCAAAGAAAGAAATTGAAGAAAAAGTTCCCTGCTGAAAAATTCTTTCTCATTTGTGATTTGATTATTTTAATGCAAGGAGTCCTGTTGTTTTCCCCACATGAGAGGTGCCTAATTGGTGTTAAAGGAAGCTTGTTTTGTTTATAGGAAATGATTGAGTGAGAGTCAGGATGCTTACCTGGGGCAGGGGTTCTTCACCCCCAGGCAGTGGAGCTTATGGACCCCTTCTCAAAGTGACATTTTAATATGTATAAAATCACATATATGGGATGATAAAGGAATCCAATTATTTTAAAGTACAATTATCAAAACATTTTAAAAACATGTTTATGGATGTTGGGTTAAGAGCTGTGGAGAGGCATCACGGTGGAGTGGATGGAGTGCAGGACTTGGGGGTAGGAAGACCTCTGACCCGCAGTGGCATTTCAGTTGTCCGTGTTTGGGAGAGAAGGTGTAGACCCACACTGGCAGGTGACCTCCCGTGGCCATTAGGTCTCTCTCCATCGCTTCCCTGGTGGTCTCTTCCTTTTCTTCTTGTTGCCCACCACCACTTGTCTCCTTTGTCCCTGGGCTGAGCTGTAGTCAGGCGCTTCTGGGACTCCTGGCCCTAGATACAGAATCATTGCAAGAATGTGGATGTTAAGGCAAGAGCATTGTGCATAAATTACACATACATTATACATACGGCTCATGTAGCCTTGATTCAGCCGTCTTTACTGAAATAAATATGCTACGTGTAGCATGGGATTCTGGACCTTCTCTCAGGCTCTGTGGTATGCTATTCTCTTTTGGAGTGGTACAGAGGAAAAGGAAGGGACAGGGTTTGAAATCAGACACCCTGGGTGCTCCTCTGAGCTTCGGTCCTCATCTGTAATGTGGGAAATAGAATACTCTGCTTCCCTCACAGACAGGCGTTGTGCACCTTCTACACTGGAGAAATGGGATTTTTATTATTATGGTGAGAATTAACCAGAATGGATTGTATAGCTGCTTTTTAGTAGGGATTGTGAGTTTGGCTATCATTTGTGTTGAGGATTGATTCACTTAGGACTTGGATCCAGAGGGACAGCTTGGGGCTGGGTCTGGGGACAGAAGGTGCGTTCCGGGTATGGAGGTGAGTGACGGCAGCCGTGGGGCGGGATTGGGGGTTGGTTCCCAGGCTCCCGTACCGCTTGGATTTCATGCCTGCCCCTGTTTGTGTCCCCTTTGTGTAGCTGCAGCACGAGAAGGCAGAACTGGAGCAGCACCTGGAGCAGGAGCAGGAGTTTCAGGTCAATAAACTAATGAAGAAGATCAAGAAACTGGAGAACGACACCATCTCAAAGCAGCTCACGCTGGAGCAGGTAGGCATGCTCCTTCCCCTCCCCCCCTCCCCCGGTCTCGCTGGGGTGTGTCCTAGGGGAGAACTGGCCTGCTCCTTCTTTGTGTCAGGCCCAGGTCTCATGGGCGAGACAGCTTCTTTCTGTCCTCGGCATTGTCTCAGTGCTTAGAGCTGCAGTGACAGGGTTTCAGAGGGCACTCGGACATATCCTGTGCTCTCTTCCCCACGTGCGGCCTTTGAAACCTCCCTGAGCAGATGTGCAGGAGGGAGTCCCATGAGGAGTAAGTGGAGGATCAATTTTTGTCAGAGGAGAAGGTTTCGTGTCCCCAACAAAATATTGCAGTCTTAGAATGAGAACCTGCCCTTAACCGAGTGATGGAAATCACTCTGGGCTGCCTTGTGCTGTTTTATGGGAATTTTTAAAATTTGGTTAACATGGTAGGCATCTAATGTTTATTGAGTTTTTAAAACTTCCTTATGAATGTTCTCTTTAGTGGCTGTAATTGCTCTTAATAATTACTAATACCAGTAAAAAAGAGTCAGCTTAGTATAGGGGATAGAGAGCTGGGTCAGGAAAAACCTGGATTCAGGTTCTACCTCTGACGACATATACTGACTGTGTAACCCCTGAGCAAGTCGCTTAGCTTTTCTCTGCCTCAGTTTTCTCATCAGTAAAATGGGGAAAATAATAACACCTTCTTCCCAGGGCTGTTTTGAGGAGAAAATGAAATAGTATTTGTAAAGCTCTTTGCAATCCTTAAAGTGCTAGATGTCATCGTCGTCATCATCATCATCATCATCATCGTCAGTCATCTGGTTCGACCTCCTCATTTTGCAGATTCAGAAGCTGAAGCCCAGGAGTGCCTGTGGGCCTACGCGGTCCCCCTCAATAGAAGGGAAGATCCTGGTGGCCATGGGATGCTCCACCTGGGTTACTCCCATGGCCACAAGGTGGGGCTAGCGCCTCAGCTTTCCTAACTGGAGGTGGAGCCGCTGGTGACACTTTACTGCAACGCTAGTTCCAGGATTCAAGCCGTGGATCTGCCTTGTGTCCTGTGCCCAGCACACAGTTAGGGCTTAGTATGCCCAAGAACACAGAGGTGTAAGAGCTCAGGTCTCTGGAGCCCTTCCCACCATGTGCCACTGCCTCATCTTGACCGTGTTGGGTGTCTGCAGTAACCAGGGCTGAGCTTCCTTTCCCTAAATAGAGATGCATCTTCTAAGTTGAGGCCGGCTCTGGGTCCTGATTAAAAATATGCTCAGCCCCTGAGTTGGACCCTTCGGTTCCTAGTTACTGCAACCACAGGTCATTGGATGCTGTTCAGGATGAAACCTCAGAGACAAGGATTTTACTAAGCAACATCTTAAGTCTTTGGGGAGAGTTGTTGTGCCCTTGATTCCCTCGGCTGCCGGTAGGCTCACTTGAGACACACACGCTTTCCCAAGATTCCTTCTTTTCTTGTATTTATGCAATGACTTGAGAATCCAGGGAAGGCAGTGTTAAAGCAGCCTCATGGGTGGTGTTGGGCGAAGAGACCTGGCCAAAAACTCAGCCTTCCCTTCCCAGCTGCCACTGGAATGCTGTGGCTGGAGGTGGGTCACTCCCTTCTTAGGCCTTGGTTTCCCCTTCTCTATAAAGATGGACTTGGACCATGGAGGAAAACTGCCCGAGGCCCTTTCAACAGGGGCAGCAGATGAAGCTGATATTGGAGGGATCCAGGACAGATGCACCTGCCTTTGGCAAACAGTGCAGCGGTGCGTTTGTGATGACTTGGAAGGCGCATGTTAGGGAATGGCTTTCAGGGACTGGAAAGGGCCATAGAGAGCACCTCCTCAGGGCACCTCACTTTATTCCCTTTCCCAGGGAAGGCCCAGAATGGAGAAGTGACTCACCCAAAGTCACCCAGCGGGGAGTCAGTGACAGAACCAGAGTTTGGACCTGAGGCTCTTGACTCCAAATTCAGAGCCCTTTCTACTGCTCTGCAGAGCTGCCTCTCCGTTGCATTTCATCAGTAGAATATTTATTTCTCAGGTTCTTTCATAAAGATCTAAAAAGTAACTTCAGAAGATCAAATTTAATTCCTTTTTAAATTAAAAAAATTTTTGTATCCAAACTGTGAGTTCATCAGTATGGGGGAGTCCCTCTTCCAATACAGGTCAGTGTTTCATCTGTAACTTACAGAGTCTTAGAGTCAGTCAGTTAACATTTATTGAGCACCCTCTGTATGGTAGGCCTTATGCTGAGCTCTGAGGATGCTAGGAAAGGCAGAAGATGGTCTCTTCTTTAGAGCTCACCTTCTGATGGGGTGGATGACGTATGATGTGCCAGAGACTGAATACAAACAAGCTGTGTAGACAGGCTCAACTGGAGATAATTGACAGAGGCACCTGGCTCCCTTTGTGGTTAAATGACTTGACTTGTCCAGGGTCACAGAGCCAGCGTGTGTCAAGGCAAAACTCGAGCCCAGGTTTTTAGACACTGAGGCCAGCCTTCTGCTATACCGTGGTGTGCTTTCAGATCTATAGTGTAGGGAAAACAGATGGCTTAATACCATCACTTTCTTTGGTGAAGGATAATGGAACGTTCAGTTGCCTGGCCGTGTTATTCCCAGGGCATCCTGGCACATGATGCGCACAGGTGACATGCCTGTGCACATTCATGCACATGCATGCACAGACATGCTTGGGGAGGCAGGGGAAGGTGCACCTCACGTGTTCTTCAGCTTAGGAGGTTGGATTTCTAGAAGGCTGTCTTCTCTCCAGTGTGGTGTTCGTTGTTGGTACCTTCTGGAACGTCGCAGGGCAACCTGGGAGTTGTGAGCATTGCTGGGGACGTGTTACAGTGGAGAGTCCGTCGGGCAGTGGGGATGAGGTGACCAGGATGAGAAGGCTGGAGGCTCTTCAGTGGCCTCTGAGGGAGGCCGCTCCTCCATATGCGGTTGGCGTGGTCGCTTCCTTATCCTCTGGCAGCCAGAGTTTGGCGTGCCCTTGTTTGCGTGGTGTCTACCCCATTGGCCTGGGAGCCCCCTGAGACGGGACTGTTTCTTGCCTGTCTTTGTGTCCTGCCCTTAGCACAGTGCCTGGCACACAGTAGGTGCTTAATAAATGATGCTGAATTGGTTGAAGAGGATCCATGTTTAATTCCATTCGAGGAGGTTTTGTCCCCAGGGAGCTCTCCCAAACTATCATGTTTTTGCCTGGTTCATACTTAAGTGTGTGCCCGCTCTCTCCATTTACTGGAGCAGCCTGGCTGTGGCCTCTCGGTTTCTTGGGAGTCCTGAGAAGTGCAGTGACTTACCCAGGGTCTCGTATAGCCTGCCTCCGAGGCTGGCTCTCTGTTGACTCTTCTGCGCGGCTTCTCTTGGGGCATTGACACTGTTTGTTGGATGCCCGCTGCTCCCCCTTTAATGTGAGGGATCTGATGTCGTGGCTCAGGGGCAGTTTAGCTTTGGAAGGCGTCTGTCCTGGGCATGACTTCGAAGGTTTTACATTGCATCCATGGCATTTTCAGTGGGGACATCAGATGGACACCGGTGTATTTGGGTCCAAAGTGGATGGAGCTATATCCACACTTGTGTTGTTGTGGGGGCTGGCAGTGTGTGTGTGTGTGTGTGAGAGACCACAGCCTCTCTGTTCCGGGCTCATCTGACCTGGAGCATAAATGGAGATTGATTTTTTTTTTAAAGTTCCCAAAGTCAGGGGTCAGATCTGTGCCCTGGGTCAGCCGAATTCCTCAGATCACCTGAGCAGATGGCTGCCACGGCAGCTTGAGCTGGCATTGGGCAGGCAGCCTCCAGCCATGCCATGTGTGTCTGCAGTGCTTTACCAGGGGCTGCCCGTCCGTCGTCTCCTTGATTTACCCACTGACCCACCCTTTGAGGCCTTCCCGAGGCACCTCTATCACCCTCCGTTGCTGGTGATTTCCTCCCATGTATCCAGCATGGATCTAGTACGTATGTGCCTGGCAGGACTCTCACCCCTTGGGGGTGAGCAGCACCGTGCTCAGCACAATGCCGGCACATGCAGAGCGAGCACTTCATAAATGCTGGTTGACTGCGCATGGAAGCATTTGAATGCAGCAAAGAGTGGTACTTTTTCAGGGTAGAAAAACTCCTTCCATCAAGGCGACCTGCAGCCCCGGTGTCACATGAGCCGGGGCACTGGAAAGAGCCCAGCTTAGGAGGCGGAGCACGGGCTTTGAGTCTGGGCTCTGACGCTGCTCCCTGTGTGGCCCTGGACCGTCTTGGAAGCTGTCTGGCGCTTACTTTGTCCCTTCCCCAAATAAGAGAGTTGGACCAGAGATCACAAGATGCCCCCTGTCCAAAGCCCGCAGCTTGCCAGGGGCTGCCCAGCTGGTCAGTGGCAGCGGCGGAATTGGAGCTGGCATCCCCTCAAGCTGCATGGCATGGCCCCTGCTTCCCAGCAAACACGAGCTGCACGTTTCCAGACTCTCATCTCAGAAAGGAGATGATTTAGGGACAGAGAAGTTACATAACGTGCCTGAGGTTGTCTGGCTGAGAATTAGAGCCAGAGAGAGAGAGACGGAGAGAGAAGGGAGGGGGAGAGGAAGAGGAGGATGAGGGAGAGAGAGGAAGAAAGAGGATGGACTGTATTTGATGTTGCTATTTTCTATTGTGTTTTCTTCTGCTTATACTTTGGGCCCCAATTTACAATATACAGTTTAAAAATTTAGAATGTCCCATGGGGAGGTAAAGGTAGAAAGAGTGTGGGGTGTTATGATTAACTGAAGGATATCCAGAGAAGTTAATTGTTTTATCCTTTTCATTCAGTTTCTTTCTAAAACTTCTTAGGCCACGTTTTTTGCTCTCAAACACAGTATGGGACATTGGCTTGAAGGGAACTGAAGTTGTCCTTGGATTTTCCGGTTCCTTGGGGTCAGCAGGTTGAGCATGTGGCTGCGTGGCGCCCTTCGCCCTGGCCTCACCATTTCCTGTAGGTGACCTGCAGTTCCTGGAGGCTGTGCCCAGGGAGCACGAGCGCTGGGGGTGTCACCAATCCAGGCCCTGCGTGGCCAAGCTCGGAGAGGATCGTCGCTGGGGGGCTACAAGGAGCTGGATTCCCAAAGGCCAGTGTCAGTCAGGACACGAATAGGCTGCTGTCTGCTCAGAGGAGCGAGGGATCCTGGAAACAGCAGAATTGCTTAGAATGTTGTGGAAAGGGAGGGAGTCAGTGGGACCATGAGGGGGCCCTGGGGGGGGCCTTTTTGCTTGGTTGGCTCTACGTCAGTCTGATGTCGAGGGCTGACCTTTTGAGGCAAAGTGACCTGTCCAGGCGGCATCATGGTGCACAGAGTGCTGGGCCTGCAGTCAGGAAGACTCATTGTCCTGAGTTCAGATCTGGCCTCAGACACTTACCAGCTGTGTGACCCTGGGCAAGTCACTTCACCCTGTTTGCCTCAGTTTCCTCATCCGTAAAATGAGCTGGAGAAGGAAATGGCAAATCACTGCAGCATCTCTGCCATGAAAACCCTAAAGGGGGTCACAAAGAGTGGGACATGAATGAAAAACAGCAACACCGACTTGTCCAGGGTATTAAGTGCCTACTGTGTGTCAGGTACTGTAATAAATTCTAGATACGTTGACAAAATAAAATGGTGAACACACGTTCTAATGGGATGGACATAGGCATATATGTGTGTACCCACACACATACACATATAGACAAAGACAACGTGTATAACACATTCACATATATATACAACCTGTATATCAAATGCACATCATATATATAACATACACATACACACCATGCATGATACATGTGCATGTGTATACACATACACACAAATGTATTTATATGTATACGCACACACCTTGATGTACATCTATACACAATATACATGTATACACACGTATACACAAATATGCTTATATGCCATATATACACAAAACACAAACACATGCATGCATGCACACACACATGCATATATACATACACACTTATACACATGTACATGCAAATGCATCATATACATAGACATAAGTATGTATATAATACATATGGTGAGTGGAAGGAGTTCATTCGGGGGGGCACTAGAAACTGAGGGGATCAGGAATGCCTCATGTTGAAGGGCATTCTGTACTTGAAGGCTGGCAATGTTTTGTTTTTGTTTTTGTGTGCCTGAGTCTAGCACAACTCCAGGCATATAGCAAGGGCTTCTTGAGTGATAGAAGTGTAAAAGCTGGGATTTGAACACAGGTCCTCTCTCTGTAATCCAATATTCTTTGTAAAACATGGCTGCTCCTCGGCTCCCTCCTACCGCCACCCCAGACTGGTCCTGAGAAGCCTCAAGGCTCTTTGCCTGAGTACATTCACCCTGTAATTCCTCCCAGCTAACCCTGACTAAACTGTAGCTGAGGCATGGAGGGTGGCAGGGCCTCCTTTCTCCTGTCTGATTAACTCACTCTCGCTGCCTCCCCTTTCTCTGGCTTCTTTTCCCCTTGACAGCTGCCCTCAATGCTTACTATTCTAATTGCCCTCCTTCCCTCACAGAGTTGTTGAGGGGAAAGCACTCTGTGGACCTTCTTATCTCAGTGGTCTGTGATAGCAGTGAGGATGCTGCCTCCGTCCCAGGGTCAAAGTGGGCAGTGACCGTCAGGGTCACTTGGTCCAAGCTTCTTCTTTTACAGATGAACAAACAGAGGCCTGGAGAAGGTAAAGGGGCTTGGCTAAGCCCCCGCAGATCACACCAGGGGTTGGAGTCCAGTGAATTCCCTCAGCACAGTCCATCTGTCCCAGGGACCCTGAACACCTTCCCCCGAAGTCATTTCACATTTTAGGAACACCGTGCAGTGTGTGGCCATCCACGTGTGGTCCTTCCCTCATTTGGCCAGTGTCTCCTACTCCCCTTCTTGCACACGCGCCATCACAGGTCCAGTGGGACCCTAGCTCAGGTAGCCCAGCGAGCATCTCCGTGCTGTCCTTTGGGTCATCCTGGTTTGAGTCTCAGGGTTCTGTGGTTGACAGCCAGCCCACGTCTCTGAGTGTTAGAGAGATAAAGTGTCTTTATCGTTGGTCAGCAGGACTTATCGGCTTGTCTTTTGTCAGTCCATGTGCTCACCTTTGCCGTCTTCTCTTGTGCCTTTCATGGACATTGCTGGTAAGGACAGCGCTGCCTCCTGCCCCCCAGATTGGATCGCTATGTGTGCAGGCCCTGGCACGTGCTTCATCTGAGCTGGTGATTAAAGTTCTCGTTGACATTTCAAAAAGTCATTATGTGGGTAGGAATTTAGCTCCCAAAATGGAATGGAAAGTGAAGTCTGACTTTTTCTTTGTTCCCAAGTAATACTTTGAGAGTAGGCAGTCTGGAAAGGTGTATTTAATTAGCTGCCATTTTGAAGGACATTAAATATTCCTGACTTATGGGTGGGTCGTGTGGTGTCCCCCCCCCCCCCAGTATTTACTGAAATTATCCAAATGATGCATTCATGAAATGGCCTCAGCTGCAGGTGTTCTTAGCCTGGAACCTCTTTTTAAAAGAAAACAAAACAGGCATTTCAGGAAACTTTGTTTCATTGTCACCTGATGTGTTTCATTTTATGCATTTAAGAGTGATTCTGAGAGGAGGTCCCCAGGCTTCCCCCACATGCCTTTACATACTTTCCCCTGCCTTGTTGGAAGAACCCACCCAGACAAACGTCCGGTGAGGTCCACGTGGCCTCCTCCTTTTGGGCTGTGGCCTTGGCCGTAGCAGTGGTGGTGACGGCCGTCCGACTTTGCACGTGCTCTTTTTTGAGTCTTCTTGACAAAATAACAGTGACTGTCCTTGGGATACACTAGACCTGCTCACTTTCTGTTTCCTGGTGCCTTTTAGAAGATAAGCCGCATTAACAGAGAGGCTTGAACATGCTGGCCTGGGGCTGAGGCCCGCACATGCTCTTGAGTGGATCTGCCCTGTGGTCTGGCCAGATGCCTCCAGTATGCAGACTCACTTCTTGTGTTTGTGTGTGTGTGTGAGGGGGCAGGGGGTAAGTCGTGGCATCAGGGAAAGAATATCTGGAAACTTCCATTTCTAGTTTATTGTCACAGTGAGTGTGGAGAGGTAGGGCAGGGTGGTGGGCAGAGCCCACATTGGGTTTGAATCCTGGCTCCCTCTCCCATGGAATGAGAAGGTGGGACTCAGGGCAGCTCTGAGGGGCATAGCTCACATGTGCAAGGTACTTTCTGTGTGATGTTTCGACCCTGGGAAGTGGATGCACTTATTATCCCATGTTACAGATGAGGAAACTGAGGCTGAGAGGTGTTAAGTGACTTCCCCAGGGTCACACCACTGCTAAATAAATGCGTGAGGCTGTATTTGAACTCTGGCCTTCTCTGCTTCGAGTGTTGTATTCACCTGGTCACTAGCTCTGGATCTGACCTCAGGCTCCTTTTCCAAGGCCACCTTGTGCTTGTTCTTAAATTAGGTATAATTGTTCAGTTAGCTTATCTGACTTCAGGGTCTGTGATGGATTCTAAGGTCAGACAAGAGATACTCTGTGTGTGTGTCTGTGTGTGTGTATGTGTGTATGTGTTTACTCTTTTATTTAAAAAAATTTTAAATACGTTAAATATTTCCCGGTGACATGAAAATTTTTTAGATTCATTGTTTAATATCTTGAGTTCCTAATTCTTTCCCTCCCTCACCTCTTTGAAGGCAAGCAAATTTAAAATGAATTAAACATGTGAAGTCATGCGGAACATTTCCATATTATCCATGTTGCAGAAGAAAGTGTGTTCATTCTTGTGAAAAACGTGCTGCTTGAGGCCCTTGCTCCTGCTGGGTCATGGACGTCATTTTGGCGTGGCTGGCTTGGAGAGGCCTTGAGGCCCTGTCGAAGTGTTAGCTATCATCATCGTTGTGATTATCATCCCAAAACTAGAAATTGCCTTGCTTTTCAACATCTTTTTCCCCTGGTTTGTTTTTGTAATTTTCTTGTTTGTAGGGAGCGGCTGTCAGGGTGGAAACTCCCTCTAACAAAGCACATGGACCACTTGTATGTCATTGATCGTTTCCAAGTCGCCCAGGGTCAAAAGTCAGAGCTGAGACTGGACCCAGGTCTTCCTGACTCTATTATTGAGACTTTTACAAATGAGGAAACTGAGGCTGAGAGAGAGGAAGTTGAATGACTTTTTCATGATCCTGTGGCTTGTCTGTGCTGGAGGCAGGCCTTGAACCTGGATCTTTCTGCCCCCGGACCATCCCTCTGTCTACTCACTGCACCCATCCCTCTGGGGAGGTTCTGACTGATGGTCCAGAGTAGGCTGAGTTCTGACCTTTCTGGTGGGATGAGGCCCACATGGTGTCAGCAGGCTGGGTGGTGAGAGTGAAGGGCTAGACCATGGCAGTGACACAGCCAATGGAAAACTGGTGTCCCTGAGCCATAGAGGCGAGGACAGAATGGAAAAGTACGGTTCCCATTTCAGAGAGTTGTTGGGACCCTGTCAGGTTTGAGGGAATGGTACAGAGCTCTTCTGTGTCTTCTCCAAGGTGGCCGGGAATGTCCAAGCATGAGCCCGGTTCACAAAGTCGATGTCCCACGTTCTCATCCCGTGTCTTCCTCTTCCTTTAGCTGCGGAGGGAGAAGATTGACCTGGAGAACACGTTGGAACAGGAGCAGGAAGCGCTGGTCAATCGGCTGTGGAAGAGGATGGACAAACTGGAGGCGGAAAAACGGTGGGTGTGGTCCTTGAGCCAGTGGGCGGGGCTCTGGGCAGGCCAGGACCAGCCTCTCTCTTTTCTGTCTCTTCTTATCATGGTCTCTGGGCTTGTGCGTGCGGGCGAGTGTGTGTGTGTGTGTGTGTGGTGTGTGTCTGTCAGAATGGCCTGAGTGTTCCACAGCCCCTGGGCTCTTTCCCCTGAGCCCTGCTTGCACACTGTCACCCTCCTGGGACATCTACAGAGGAGGTACCCAAACCATTGCTTGGCTCATCTGTTGAAGGGCCACCCAGGTTCCCAGCCTCCATGCCTTCAGCCCCTGCCAGTTCTGTCAGGGCAGCGTCTCTCTGACCTGTTTTCTTTTCTTCCTTCCCGTGGCCTCACCCTGTAGTCTGAGATTCTGTAATGACTCCCTGTCAGAAGCAGCGGACCGTTGTGCCCGCACACACATGCGCATGTGTCCGTGTGCTCGCACTGTAGAAATGACAAGATTGGGCTGCAGAGTGGACGTGTGCAGTGAATGGAAGGGAGAAGCTGAGGGGGGTGTGCTGAGGTGCCGACCCAGGGCACTGAGAGGCGGGGGGAGCTTGAAATGGGGAGGAGGGGTTTTCGTGAAGGATAGGGGCTTGCTCTTGGGGTGTCTGGGGTTTGGAATGCGTATATGCCAATGTTGCAAAATGGCCAGCGGGCAGTGGAGAGTCCAGGTTGGAGCTCAGAGATAGACAGGGGCTGGACAGAGATCTAGGAAACACCTACATAGAGATGGTCGGGTGCACTCGTGAGAACTGATGAGAGAGTAGAGAGGGAAAGGAGAGAGCCCCGAGCAGAGCTGTGGGGCCTTTGGGGAAGAAGGCTCATGGCCAAGCCTGCAAGAGCCGACTTGAAATCCCCTTAAAGAGGGCTCCTTGGGATCTGGGATGGGTCTTAAGGGAGGCTGGTGCGGGTGACCTTGGGCAGGTCCCCACCGCTCTATGCACCAGCCGCCTGCTGCTGTCCCTCCGGAGTCTGATTTGTGGGGTGACTGGGGTCTTCCGACCCGCAGGATTGCTGTATTAGCACCTGGCAAAGCATGCATGTTTCGAAAACGACTTCATCTGTGACTTTTCTTTCCTATGAAGCATCCTGCAGGAGAAGCTGGACCAGCCTGTCTCTGCGCCCCCGTCCCCACGGGATATCTCCATGGAGATCGACTCTCCAGAAAACATGATGCGGCACATCCGCTTTTTGAAGAATGAAGTGGAGAGACTGAAGAAGCAGCTGCGAGCAGCCCAGTTACAGCGTAAGCTCCCCTCGCTCGGCCCGGGCCCCTGCGTCTGTCCTTTGAGCCGTGGCCCCCAGCCCTGGCTGACCAGCCAGGCTCACTTCTAGAGGAGTGGCCAGCCCCCGAGCTCGGGGGATGATCGGGAGGCTCCCTCCCACCTGATGCGTCCTACCTGGCCCCAGGAGGAGCGGCCCACGGGGGCTCCCTGGGCCTCAGGCTTCTCCTCAGGCTCAGCCTCTGAGTTCCGGATTGGTGATCCTGTGGTCACTTGTGGGAGTTTTTAGCGCTTTCCTTTCTCCCAGTTCCATTATTTCCAGGGCTGTGTTAGGGTAAAGAAAAAATTTGCAGTGCCCCATAAGATCAGATTCTCGGGCTTTAGCCTCATTAAGGGTAGGGTTTATGTGTGTGTGAGCAGTAAGATTGGCTTCATCTGACTTTAGGAATCAGAGTCGGAATAGGCCTTAGAGATCTTGGGGCAAACACCTAGGAAGATTGCTGCCTCTGCTCCTCGCCGCGTTGCCGACATCGGCCTCTCGGAAAAAGAGAAGAGAGGCCCTATCACTTGGCTGTTCAGCAGAAGCTTCAGTGCCTCCTTGTTACCTGCTGGATTAAAGCAGTCACTCCTGATGCAAGAATGGAAGCCCTTTCCACCTGCACATCTTGTTGGCCAGTCATTTGTCACCTCCCACTCTCCATGACCCCGTTGGGGTTTTCTTGGCAGAGATACTGGAGCGGGTTGCCATTTCCTTTTCCAGCTCATTTTTACAGATGAGGAAACTGAGTCCAATAGGGTGAGGGAACTTGCCCAGGGCTGCACATGATAGTGTCTGAGGCAGGATTTGAACTCGGGTGTTCCTGATTCCAGGCCAGCGCTCTATCCACTCAGGTGTCCCTCAGCCACACTGACCATCTTCAGATGGAACCTCATTTCATTCGTACAGCTTCCCTGTCACTGCACACTCCTCCCAAGTTCATCTACTTAGCTATGTCCTGACCTTAGCATCTTGGTTTCAGCTCTGTGCCTTTGCATGGGCCTCCCTTCCTGGGCTCAGCCCTCCCTGATTCCCCCATGGATGCAGGGATGGGTGTGTCCTCTGCCTCCCTGTGGTCCTCTCTGTCTCTTCCCCCCCCAGGATGGATGCTCTGGAGGTGGGAGGTGGGAGCTGGCCCAATTCCTTGTGTTCTTGAGGAAATCCTGAGTCCATCCTGTGGTTCCAGGCCTAGCGACCTATGTCTGTGGTGCCAGAGTCCCTGAGTCATAGAGGGGAGGGATGGAGGGAAAAGCTGGACAGAGTGAGAGACGCCCAAGGGTGCGAGTGCTTACTATAGATCTCCGCGGTGTTATCAACTCCACTCTTCTCACCACCTGGCAGGCAAGCAGGCAGCCAGCATTTATTATGTGCTTACTGTGTGCCAGGCACAGTTGTAAGGTACAAATAGAAAGACGGCCTGGCCCTGCCCTCAAGGAGCTTGCACTCCAGCGGGGGAGGACAGCACACAGAAGGGGATGTAGAGTGGTCTCAGCTCGAGGGCCTGGGAGGCCCTCCCTGATGGGACGGACTGGATCACCTGTGAACATTCAGTATAGACTAGTAGTAGCAGAATAGCGCCTCATCCACCAGCATGAGGAGAATCAGGTAAGGGATGGAGGCTGAGGAGACAAGTCTCCTTCTCAGACAGGGGTCTGGAGCCCCTGCCTTCCTCCCTGCTTTCTTCTCTTTGGGGCCTTTGGGACACTGCCATTGTCAGCCAGGTCCTGTTGGGGCAGACGTGGATCTTCTGAGCACACTTCATCCCCGAGATCACCTGGTCACAGGAAGTGGACACCTCTCGCCTCTTCTACTGCAGCAAAGAACCAGATGACCTGAGTGTCCCCCAGCCCTTCCCAACCAATGCCCCGAGTTGAGAAAAGACTATTAGTTTTATATGAAGGTTTTTGAACTTTGGATTGCCTTGACTCTGAACAGGCTTTCCCATCAACCCCTTTGGAAACTGTTTTCTTTGTCAGTGTTCAATTTTGTCTCTCCCCTCCCCCTCCCGTCCCATGCACATATTATTACTCTTTCCCAAACATATTTTTTTTTAACAAGAGCTGTGTCTGGCCTGCTTATATTCCTCTCGGCCACTTGCCAGCCATTCTCTATAAACAGAGCCTGCCTTGTCTTTGCTAGGACAGATACAGGAGCAATAAAGGCAGAAGGAGCAGCCAGCTGTTTGCCCCGACTCCTCCAGGCTGTCAGAGCCGCCCGCCTGGGCTGTGGCAGGCACCTCCTAGCGGGTCTCACCGCTTCTCCTCGCCCCCTGCCTGCAGCCAGCCCTTCTTCGTGTGGAGAGCCAGTTACCCTGCTCCCTCGCCCCCTCCTCATGCTGTTAATGACTTTCCTCCTCATCCTCAGGTAGGTCAGTCCAGGGCTTAAGGTAGGGAACGTTGTGCCAGATTCAGGATGGCGCTGTGCTCTTGTTTGATCTTAAGCCCCTTGAGGGCAGGGACCTCACAGCCTGAGCGATATTTTTGTATCTTGCTGGCACCTACTATTGCCCTGCCTACAGTAGGAACTTTTTACATGTTTGTTTTAGAGCAAGGCCCTTTTGCTTCGCTTTGGTCTGCTGGGCATTGGGTCCCTCCCAGCCCGACACTTGCCTGACACTTGGGTAGGTCCCCCTACCCAGTAATCACCACTTCAGCGACTCTCCCGGCGGCCATGTGAGGTTAGATACTATGGCAGTCATCACTTGTAGGTTACAGGGGAGAAGACTGAGGTTTGGGGAGGTAGGGCCACCTGCCCCCACAGTCATGTAGTGAGGGCATGTTGTAGCTGGGATGAAATGGAAATCATAGGTTCAGTCAGTCACAGGGAGATATTTATTTTTTGTCCATCAATTTATTAAATAATTGTCCCTCTTATACAAAATAGACAAGAAATGCTCTGTCATTTTTAAGGGTAAGGTAACAAATGAACTTCTGAACTAATTCCCTTTCCCTTTGGGATTATCTCCATCTGAGTCTTTGTTTAAATGGTTCAAGTATCAGTTGACAAGACAGCTTGGTTGAGTTTTTTGAAAACTCTCTGTACTTGCTAACAACCTTTTAAGAAGACATGGTGCCAAGGGTTGGGATTGGAATTTAAAGCTTTTCCACCCAGAATTGATGATAAATTTCTAGTAATGAGGTTTTGGGTAATATTGATTTATCACTAGAATGAGTGAGAGGTTACATCAGGTTTTTTTTCAAATTTTTTTCTTTCAGTTTTATTGATGGCTTTTTAAAAAAATTACATTCAAATACACATTCCCAGTTCATGAGAGGTGTCTTATAACACCTGTAAAGTAAAACAGGCGATTAAACCAATACTACGCTAACCCCAGCTAAAGTTCATACATTTCACATCTGTAGCACCCCTCCCTCCCTCCCACCTATCTGCTTTCTCTTCTTATCCCTATCCACTGAAAAAGCAGAAAAGAAAAAGAAAACATCTCTTATAACAAATATGTCCATAGATGTTTAGTAAGCACCTGCGATGTGCCACACACTGTGCTGAGCCCTGATGATTTCCTGAAGCTACACAGGATAAGCCCCTGAGCCGTGCGGCTCCCAGTCCAGCACTGCTTCCTGACCTCAGATCCCACCCACTCACCCCTCCCACCTGCCTTTAGAGCCACGTCTGTGGTGTTTGGACAGACTCTGAGAGGGCCTGTCCCAGACTCTGTGTTGGCCCAGTGTTGGCTGTCACTTTCCCTAGCCTGTGAGCCTGGGCAGTGGAGGGAGCCAGGCTGGGATTCTCCTCATTCTGTAACAAGAGGCAGTCTGTGGTGCTGTGGGAGCCCCAGGGTGACCCTCTCAGGGAAGTGGCCCATTTTACACGTGCAGAAACCAAGGCTGAGAGTGACAGAGGGCAGGCAGGATTCGAGTCCAGCCTTTTCCCCACACTGCCCTGCCCGAGCCAGAGAAAAGGAGAAAGGCAAGATCTGACTTCCGGGTGAGGGCCGCATTGGCTTTGTAACTCTGGGGATGAACGTGACTGTTCTAGGAAATGGTGTTCATCAGGGGTTGTCTGGAAAAGCCCAGAAATCCCAATGAAGTGTGATGTCGTTTTCTGCCCTTACTGAGCCCTAGAGGGCTGAGGAGGATCATAGAGCTTTGGCTGTTTTGTGGCTAAATCACTTCCTCTTCATGGAGGGAGATGGAAGTGGTGGTACATGAGCTAACCTAGTATTTAACATTCTCTTTCTTAAGCCTGGTTCACTTAGCTACGTGGCTCAGGTTGGGAGCCAGCCAGCAAACTGTAGAAATCTCTCTTGGAGAGCCTCAAGGCTCATCTTAGGAGGGAACAGTGCTGAGGACTGCCCCTCTCCTGGGCTAAAAAGTTGCCAAAGCACTTTCTAGGGATCCTTTCCCTTGAGTCCCACACCAAACTGTCATTATTATACCCATTTTACAGATGAGGAAACTAAGGCAATTATGGCCATAGGATCATGAAGTTAGAGCTGGAGAGACTTTGGAGGCCAGCAAATTCCCTCCTGTCTCCCCTTATTTAAGGGCAGGCAGGTAGGGTCCCTAGAGGTTCATAGAAAGGGCCTTCAGGGGCCAGTCATCTGCTCCAACCGTTTCCTTCTGTAGATGTGGAAACCAAGGCCTAGGGAGGTTCTGTGATTTGCTTAGGCTCCCCAGGTCATCAGGCCAACAAACATTTACTAAGCGCAGACCACATGCCATTTTAGACCAGGTCTTCTTCTGTTCTAATGTACCGTAAGTGACTTGCCCGAGACACTTTCTGAACCCAGATCCTTTAACTCACAGAATTTGAGAGTTGAAAGGGGTCCAAGAGGTCACATAGTCTAACACATCCACAATAGGAATCCCTTGTCCAACATACCTGGCAAGTGGTCCTCCAGCTTCTGCTTAAAGATTTCCACAGAGGGGGAGCCCCTGCCTCTCAAGGCTGCCCATTCCATGCTGGGATGCCTTTCTTTGAGGCACCCAGCCTCAGTCGGCACCTTTGCCTCTTCTGTCCATTGGTCTCTGCCTATGTGGCCACAGATCTGGTGAGTTTCTGAGGGGGCTCCCAAGTTCAGTGCTCTCACTGTTATGGCAGCAGTGATTAGGTTACACAGGATGAGTGGGGGAGATGAGCTTCCTGTAACTGCAGGAGCTGAGGGTTATCAAGCCCTTTCCTTGAAGCATCCTTGGGACCCAAGGGAGGTCAGTAGTTGCAGTGGATGGGGGAGAGAGAGAGAGACTGTCTGGAGCCAAGTGATGGAGGGTCTTGTTTGTGGAACAGCCAGGAACCTGGTGTCCTTGGATCAAAGAGTGTGTGGGGGGGAGTCAGGTGCTTGAAGACTAGAAAGGTAGAAGGGGAGTAGGTTAGGGAGGGCTTTAAATGCTGAGCAGAGCATTTTGTATTTTCTTCTGGAGGTGATAGGGAGTCACATTATTGAGTAGAAGTGTGACATGATCAGACTTGAGCTTTTGGAAAATCACTTTAGTGGCTGAATGGAGGATAGGTTGGAGTGGGGAGAGACTAGAGGCAGGCCAGCCCCCTGCAGGGGGCTAAATGTGCTAATGCCCTGAATGCACATGATAGTTCAGGTCTGAGGTGACCAGGCCATGTACCACCATGGAGAAGGTATCAGGAGAGAAAAAGAGGGGGCGTCTTCTAGAGATGCTGCAGAAGTGAAATTGGTAAGAAATGGTACAAACTGAAATCGACCAAAGATGCTGGAGAGGTGAAATCCTTAAGAAAGGCTACAGAGGTGAAAACTACAAGAGATGTTGCAGAGGTGAAATCAACAGGAGAGTCTGCAGAGGTGACATCCACAAGAGATGTTACAGAGGTGAAATCCACAAGAGATGTGGCAGGGATGAAATCAGCAAGAGGGGCAGCAGAGGTGAAATTCACAAGAGGAGCAACAGAGGTGAAATCCACAAGAGGGGCAATAGAGGTGAAATCCTTAAGAAAGGCTACAGAGGTGAAAACTACAAGAGATGTTGCAGAGGTGAAATCAACAGGAGAGTCTGCAGAGGTGACATCCACAAGAGATGTTACAGAGGTGAAATCCACAAGAGATGTGGCAGAGATGAAATCAGCAAGAGGGGCAGCAGAGGTGAAATCCACAAGAGGGGCAATAGAGGTGAAATCCACAAAAGATGTTGCAGAGGTGAAATCAGCAGGAGAGGCTGCAGAGGTGACATCCACAAGAGATGTTACAGAGGTGAAATCCAAGAGATGTGGCAGAGATGAAATAGCAAGAGGGGCAGCAGAGGTGAATCCAAGAGGGCAATAGAGGTGAAATCCACAAAAGATGTTGCAGAGGTGAAATCAGCAGGAGAGGCTGCAGAGGTGAAATCAGCAAGAGGGGCAGAAGAGGTGAAATCCACAAAAGATGCTGGGCTACATCAGGAACCCGCTCTCCCATGAGCTTCTTCTCATTGCTTGGGTTTGATTTGGGCATTGTGTAGGGATGCTTCAGCAGCATTCCTGGGGAACATGGGTCTGTGAGGCAGACAGCCAGACTGTCAGAACTTTTGAGCTGGTTGTGCTGCTCTCTGAGCCCCTGGCTTCCCTGGCCTAGAGGCAGTACGGTCACTTAAGTGGCTTTGTGATTCCAACCTTTTGCTTCCTGAATTCTCCTTTTTAAATGGGTATTTTCTCTTTTTCCTTTACCTTCATTTCCTAATATATTTCCCCTCTATCCCTCCACAAAAGGCTATCAGGGGTTCTTAGTTTGGAGTTTGTGGACTTTTAAAAAACAAACTGATAACTGTATTTCAACAAAGCTGGTTTCCTTTGTAACCCTGTGTGTTTTATACATTTAAAAGCGTTCTTCTGAGAAGGGGTCCATGGGCCTCCCCTGTTGCTAGAAGGGTCCTGGCAGACAAAAGGTTAAGAAATCCTTGCCTTAAAACAAAGAAAAGGGAAAAGAAAAAAATTTAGTCCTGTCCTCCTCCCTGCCACTGCCCATTCCCCATTATCACATCAAGTCCTGCAGTGTTTGTTGTGTTCCTCACCTACCATCTCCCACTCCACTGGTTTCTCTTTAACCTGTGCATGAGACCTGACTTAATGGGAAACACTGCTTTTCAGACTCAGAGAAGATGGCCCAGTATTTGGAGGAAGAACGCCACATGCGGGAAGAAAACCTGAGGCTTCAGAGAAAACTCCAGCGGGAAATGGAGCGGAGAGAGGCCCTTTGTCGGCAGCTTTCGGAAAGCGAATCCAGCTTGGAGATGGATGATGAAAGGTGGGGAGGTTTGTGTAGGCCCCAACCCTTAGGGCAGTTGAAATGTCTTAAGAGGAAGGGGAGGTGGTGTGGTTGTAGGGGACAGACCCAGGGTCAGGTCCTGTTTTCCTGATGCATCCTGGCCTCTCCACAGAGCAGGTGCTGGGCTGTGTTGGAGGAGGGAGGATTGTACTTAGTCAAGTCACGAGCTTCTGAAAAAAAAGCAGGGGAGGTGGCTGGGAAGTGTGTGTTAGGCTGTTCTTCCCCCTAGAGTTAGATAAAAACACCTTCTCCAGTGGGAAACATGGGGCTGTAGGAGAGGTTTATGAAGGAATAAAAGGAGGCAAAGAGGAGGAGAAGGAGGGAAAAAAATGAGAGGGGATGAGGAGCAGGGGTTGGAGGAGGCCCTGTGTGAGGGAGTGGGGCCTGGAATGCCTCCAGGTGTCTTAGCCTAGACAGGTGTCTGTCCTTGCTGTCCTTCACTTTGTGTGGCTGCTATGTTTTCTTCTTGCCCCAAGAATCAGGTCTTCCTGTTTTCATCTTCTAGTTAATGTCTGAGGTCAGGTTTGAACTGTGGAAGAAGAGTCTCTATGCACTGTGGCGCCACCTAGCTGCTGCCCACTTACATAAACACATAATTATATAATTGTGTATACATGTGAGCTATCAAAGTCATCATCATCATCATTGGCCCCAGGTAGTGAGTTCTCTTGGCCTGGTGATCAAGGGCAGACAACGGTTCATGCTCAGATCTCCAGGGAACAGGGGGCCCCAGAAGGTAGTGTCTGAACGTCCCTAGCCACGGTTGGTCCATCAAGCAGCAGGCATTCACAGACAACCCGCTAGGTGCCAGATACTGTGACAGGCAACCTGCTCACAAGGGGAAGACAGCCAGGATATCACTAAGGAGACTCAGAAGAAATGCAGAATTATTAAATACTAGGTAGGTAGTCGGAGGGGGTGGCGGGGCAACAGCATTTGAGGGGATCAGGAAAATTAAATGTCCCTCCTCTGTCCCCAAGCTGTGCATGAGGGAGTCGCGAGAAAGAAAATTAAATGCCCCTCCCCCTCCCTGTGCCATTTTGGTGGTCCGTGCCATAGAGACCCTCGAATGAGCCTTCCCTAGACTCGAGGAAAGGCGGGTGTTGTGGGCATGGCGCAGGGAAGTGAGCCTCATCTTGGAGGGAGCACAGGTTCACTTGGGTGTTGGCCTGCCTCTGACCTCCTTGGTGGTCAGCAGATGCTTGTAGACTGTTTACCAAGTAAGCCGCTTGCTGCTGACGTTGTTTTTCTTTAGGATGCACATGGCTTCCACAGGTGACTGATTTGGCATCCTGTAAACCAGATGCCTGGGTTCAGTAAAGCTGTTGGAGCTTTGCTGGCAGTTTAGGCAAATGCAGGGACGGCTGGATCTGCTAGCGCCTTCTGAATCAGCAGCTGTGGGCCTCACCGGATTCTGCTACCTGAAGGGGCCTTAAGCCACCCTCATTCTGTCTTAATGTTAACTTAGTGCCAAACTGAGCATGAGCATCTTATGTTATTAGGCACAGGGGAGGTAGTCCTTGTCCGCAGAGAGTTTACGTGGATCAGGAAGTATGTTCAGTGGCATGAAATGCATCAGGACTTGGCATCCTTGGGTCGCCGAGTACACCTGGCTTCCTCTTATCTGGGATGCAGGGGGAGAGACTGTTATCCCCCCAATAAGAGCACGGAATGTATAGCCATCTCAGATCCCACTGCCCCAAGGCGCTCAACAGCTGTGACGCAGACTTCCCAGAGACCTTGGGGACATCTTCAGAAGCCTCTGTATTGTTTCTTGTCTGTAATTAACTGCATCTGCATATTCCTCATTCACTGAATAACTCACATAGATATCATGTCATACATTTCCAGGATTGTCTTTGGTTTTTAATGATAATATGATTAAATCAGGGACACTTAAATCAGGTTTCCCTCTAGTATCAGGGAGGGGTGGGAAGAACAGTTAAGATGTAATTGTAATTTTAAATAAATTTTCCTGTCATCTGGTCTGAATTTTATACTGCACCTTGGCTGGTGAACCTTCCTGCTGATCAGGAAAACCTTTGGATTTCCCAAAGCACGCTCCCTTTGCTGGAGTATGGCAGGTCTGTGGCTGGCTGATCAGGAAACAGGATTTTCAGTGGTCTCTTACTGATGTGAGATGTCTCGAAACAATGGAATATAGTCTCCGCATCTGTGAGCCCTGGGTATTTCCTCACAGGGTTTTGTTTAAAGAATTTTTAGACACCGTGTTAGAAATGGCCCCCCTGACCATCTTCTTTGGTTTTCTTTCAGGTATTTTAACGAGATGTCTGCCCAAGGATTAAGACCTCGCACTGTGTCCAGCCCAATCCCTTACACGCCTTCTCCCAGTTCAAGCAGACCCATATCACCGGGTAAATGTCTGACCACACCATCTCACATCTGATGTGCTTGGTAGCCATCGCTGTATTGAATCTCTTTGAGAAAACAGGAGGTAGATAGATGGGAATGACCTGTGGAGGCAGCCTCTCGTTTTGTGTTCTGACCCCAAGAACTAACGAGGCAGTGGCAGGGAGTGGAGAGAGTGCCCGGCTGGGATGCGGGGAGTCCCTTTCAGTTCTGCCCTGCTGCGTCCTGGGCCAGTCAGGGGGCCCCTCTGAGCGTCGGTCTCCTCACTTGTTAAGTGGGGGTGGCAGCAGCATCCGCCTCACGGCATCGTTAGGAGTCCCCAGTGAGGGGGAGGCTCCGCAGAGCTTCACAGGCCCTCACGTTCTCTGTACTGGTCAGCCGCCTTTATGCTTGCTGATACTCAGCAATGGTGCCAACTACATTTTCACCAAACTCCCAGATCTGAGTTTTCCTGTAATGGTACCCTGACTCACACTTCTCGTACATGCTCAAGTTTGCCAACTGAGTCACATTTATTTTGTCCAGGCCCTATGTGACATCTGCAGGTATTGCCCTCCCCACTTTACACATGAGAAAACTGAGGCCTGAGACATCAGGTGACTTGCCCAGGGTCACTGGGTCCTGAGTGGCAGAACTGTGACTTGCCCTTGAAGTCCCTGACTCCAAGGCTGGGGGCTTTTCCACTGCAGCGTGTGCTGGCTGTGTAGCTTTGACTTTGGCCTCCATGGAGTGCAGCCTTTGAGTCACTTGGTACCATCCAGCAATGCTGGAGTGAAGGGTCAAAGGTGGAGAAACTCAGCCCAACAGGTGTGGTTGATGTAGCTAGAACAGGGAGTGCGGCCCACTCATGGCGAGATGGCGGCCCCTGCTGAGAAAGCAGAGAATGTGTCTGCTCCCCCCAGCCCCACCTGCTGGGTCTGGGCTGCCTGTCCTTGTTCTAGGGATGCTGGCCAGGAGACAGAGCAGCCCAGAAAAATGCCTTCCTGCGCCCCACAGGCAAAGCTGGGAGGCTTTGAAGGTCGCTTCCAGCCCTTCGGATTCTGTGAATTGGTTTCTTGGAATGTCTTCCAGAGTTCCCAGATCTCCTCAAACATCAGCCCCACCCCTCCCAGGGACCCCAGTGCTTGTGAAGGTGACACCCCGTGAAGTGAAAACAGAGCTTTGTGTGGTCCAGCAGTCAGTGAGCAAGTGTTTCTTAAACGCTTGTTGGTGCCTGGCCGTTCTGATACTGTCGTTCAATAAAAATTTTGTTTGAGTAGCCTGTGAACCAGCTGATGCGACATTAAATAGGGTGTGGGTCGTCGGGCCTTGTGGTAAGCGCACCGGCTGCCTGTGATATGTGGCTGCTTCACGAAGGTCTGATCAGGAACATCCTCCAGACTCACATCTTTCCCTGCCCAGGCGCCCAGGGTGGCCGCTTTCCCTGTTGGTGGTCAACGGCCCCTCCTTCGGCCTGCGTTCAGAGTCCTTCTGGCATGGCAAGGTCTCGCTGGCTTTGCCCTTATCTGGGGTGGCCTCTGAGAATGCAGGGTCACCCCCATGCCTTCATGAAGCATTGGACTTTAACCGGGGAAAGTTAAAATGCAAAGAGATTCCTTTAATCAGTTACTTTAATCAGTAGGAATCCCTTGACCTTTTATGATAATGAAAGAAGTTTGTGAGGTGGTGTGAGATGCTGGGAAAAGCACAAGGATTTGAGACAGAGCCAGTCCGGATTGTGGCTTTGAATCCACTTGAAGGTGTGTGTCGGGCAGCCACTTCACCTCTATAGGCTTCTGTCGGCTTCTGTCTAAAATCTGGGGATCGGAGTGGCTCGTCCAGCTCTGGGTCTATGGCATCGGGAGCCTTCCCCTTTCCCCTGTGGTTACCTAAAGCTGCTTTCCACATACAAGTCAGGACTTCTGCTTCTTCAGGCAGAAATTCATTCATGTATTCATTCAGCAAACATTCATTACGCACCTGCTGTGTGTGGGAAACTGCGATAGGCCATTGGGCAGTAAAGTGTGGATAAGGATGGGATGCCCATCCTCTTGGAGCTTCCAATCTAGCAGGCTCAGAGATAATCATAATATGCTGTATGACGGTGTGAGGTCATTGCTACCTGAGCTCTGAGGGGAAGGTGTGTCAAGTCCAAGATACTGACCAAGCCAGGCCCTGCAGGGTCATCACCACCGTCCTAGAAACGGTCGAGGGCCCTTGCTGCAGAGCACTTAAAAATCGCTCTGTCTGGTAACAGTTTAGCTACTTCCATGTCTTCATAAAACGAATTTTATTCCAGGAATAGAATAGAAATCGGTAGGAATGAAGGAATGAAGCATTTATTAAATGCTTACTATGTGCACACTCTGCAGGGAGACAGAAGGAGAAGAGGAAGACTGTTCCTGTTCTCCAAGAGCTCCTATTCAGTGGAGGGAGACCCTGCCTAGGGAAGGTTTCAGCTACAAGTCATACGGAAAGGTGCCAGGGTCCTTTGGGTACTGCAGCAAAGCTGATGGAAATGCCTCCTCTTTAATGTCAAGTCCACCAATAAAATCATATCCATTTCTGATGCAGAACCATTTGAACTATTGGACAGGGCCAGGAGGATGGCTGGGGGCACTGGGCTGGAAGTCTGGCTGTTCCCAAGGTTCATGGGTTCAGGGGCCTGGGCTGCTCTCATCAGGGTCTGTGGGGAGGTGGTGGTGGTTTGAGCTGACTGGCACATTCTGCCTCCTGTCTCCCAGGGGGCCCTGCTACTTCATTGGTGGAGATGGCTGACCCCATCACCTGTCGCTATAGGAACCACTACCCAGGTGATGGCTGTGAGGCAGTTTGAGGGACCCTGCTATCCCCAGGGCTTTTGGGTTCAGGGGCCTGGGCTGCTTCCACTAGGACCTGAGGGGGGATGGCCATCAAGATTATTGGATGGTCTGACTTGCCTGGCCTTCGCTGCCTCCTCTTTCTCTCCCAAGGTGCCCTGGTGCCTCCGGCCCAAGTGAGTGAAGTAAGCTTACAAGTGGTTGCTGGTACATTAATCTCAAGCATACAAAATATGCTTTGTTATATTCCAGGGAGATCTTTATCTAAGTAATTATTTTATTAGGCAGATTCTGAGATGTGCTATATTATCTTTTTCAGAATGTTAAAATTTTGGAGTTGAAAACATGATTCTTTGAATTACTAGTTCACATATGTGTTGCCCTTCTCTTGTTCTGAGCTGGATCAGAGGGTTTCCTGTCCCAGTTCTGTTAACTGTGAGACAGTGGGCACTTCATTCCAGCTCCGTGGGCCTCAGTTTCCTCATCTGTTAATTAGGAGATTGACTAACTGAGATGACCTCTGAGATTCCTTTCTGCTGTCAGTCAAAGATCCGTCATTTACTTATGTCTTCAGTATGTGACATAATGAAATTTGGCTCAAAAAGTCTGTATTGGGGCAGCGAGGCAGTGCAGTGGATAGAGCACCGGCCCTGAAGTCAGGAGGACCTGAGTTCAAATCCGGCCTCAGACCAAGCACTTGACACTTACTAGCTGTGTGACCCTGGGCAAGTCACTTAACCCCAATTGCCTTTAAAAAAAAAGTCTATATTGCTCTAAAAAATATATTGAAAACCAGTACTACCAATGACAACTGCTTTGCAATAAGAGGGTTTTTTTTTCTAGATCCCTTTCTCATCCTGAGCATACTTGTCATGCTGAAAGTGCGTTACGTTATTCCTTTGCACTGATGTACCACAGTTTATTGAACTATTCTGCTTTCATTGGATATTTATTTCAGTTACAAGTGATTTTGCTTTGGAAATCTTTGAACTGATAGCTCTTCTCAGTAAACCCATTTTGCTACATGCTCAGCAGCATCCCAGTTGTTTTCGTCAACTCGACATGTGGAGTTGTTTCAGTTTGCTTATCTTTGCTTAATCATGAGCTTAAGCATCCTTTCAAATGATCATTAATCTGCACTTCCTCTGGAAAAATTATGTTCATCACATTCAACCTTCATGGACTGAAGGGTTGTCTTTGAGTGATATGGAAGCTTTTCAGGGCCGAGCTGACTTTGCTTTTGTCTTGGGATCTTGGCAGCCTGGCACATAAATAGTGTTTAGTCAATGTGCATTGATCAGACGAGTGGTAAAAGGCGTGAAGATGGCCTAATACTACCAGACTTTGAAACATCAACAAAACTCTGAGCTAGGGCGAAAGAATAGAGAAAGAGTTATAATGGAGACCCAGTTAAGTAGAATACAATATGAATAGTAGACATCCAGCCAAAGATAATAATAATAATGAGGATGATGGTAGCACTTACATAGCATTTTAAGATTTGCAAAGCGCTTTACAAGTACATACAAACTAGCATTGTTTTAGTAAATCTAGAGAAAATAAAAACTGGGGAAAGGATTAATTATTTAACAAAAGTACTTGGAAAACTTAGCAATTTGATAAATGGACTTAGCATTCCAGCTAGATGATTAGACTCAAACCCTCAAAAACAGTGGGAATACAAATAAGAAAATAGAGTTATTTCAGTAGTGGAGAAGAGATGACTTTTTCTGTTCAACAAATAGAAGGAATTACTGACGAATAAGACAGGCATTTGGTTTACATTCAAAACAATTTCTCTACAGGAAACAAATCCATTTGAAAGAAAAATAACACATTGGTCAAAACACATATGGCTCGTGTTAGATTTCAAAACAAAAGGCAGAGTCTTGACATCCAAACGCAAGTTGCCTGTTAGTAGAATGGCGTTAGTAAAACCCCCAGGTCTGGGGGATTTTTGTTTTGTTTTAGAAACATTTGATATTAAATGGGTCATGTTTCTTGTGCTGCCTTTTTTTTTTCTAACCCAAACACACACGTTCCAAGTGCTTTCATTGGCTTCTCCTATTTCTGCCTGCTTGAGGGAGAACTCCCACTGTTACTTATAATTATTGGATCAATTCCCCCATTTATTGGAGAGGTGATTATTATTGTTCCTCTCTGTGTGTGTGTGTGTGTGTGTGTGTGTGTGTGTGTGTGTACACATGTGTAGGGAAATTCAGGTGAAGGGAAGGTTTTGTGGGAAACAGAATGAGTTCTGTTTTGGACAAACTGAGTTTAAATGCCCATGGGACATCCAGGTTAAAGTGTCCAGCAGGCAGTTGTATATGTGAGATTGGAACTCAGAAGAGAGACTGGGGCTGGTTCTATAAATCTGAATATCATTTGCATAGAGATGATAATTAAGTCCAGGTGTTATCTCACAGAGTACAGTAATACAGAGAGAAAAGGCAAGAGGGCCCCAGACAGAGCCTTGGGGCAATACTAACAATTAGTGTAACTTCAAGCAGTTAGTGTATCCTGAGGTATAATTGGACTGATTGGCGGAGAACAGAGTGATAGCAGTGTCATACAAACCCAGAGAAGGGAAGAGTATTCAGGAAGCAAATTGATCCTCACAACAGCCCTGTGAGGTAGGGGCTGATCGTCCAGTTTTTGCAGGTCAAGGAATTAAATCTGAGGGAGGTTGAATGACTTGTCCAAAGTCATGCAGCTAGTGTCTAAGTCTGGATTAGAACCCAGGTCTTTCTTACTCCAAAACCAACGCCCTATCCTCTACGTCATTTCATTGGGTAACGCGGACAAAAAGGCCTTTTCAGGGTGTTGAAAGCTGCTAGGATGTATGTTCTGTTGACAGAGCCTTTGAGAAGCCAAGGTGACCTCCCCACCACACAGGCGTTAGGGTAGAACTTCACATTATGATGAAAAATAATCACGATATGAGAAGCTTCTGGCTCTAGATCGTTGTTCTGTGCTAAGACGATGAGCCGTCCCAGCCCTAAAGGGGCTTAACTCCTGTCTGCACAGTAATAGAAAATGCTTAGTAATTTCAGGGGAGGCGGACTGGCAGTGGTGTCAGGAGACAGGTCACGTTGGGAGGTAGTCCGGCTTTGGAGCTTGGATTCTCAAGAGGTAGGAGTGAGCAGAGTGAGTTCTAGGCATGGGATAGTGTGGCTAGAGTCTGAAGTGAAGGGATGACTGTATAATAAGCCTGGGAAGGTGGCCTGTCACCAGACTGTTTCGCAGTGCCAAATAGTGGGGTTTGTGTTGGGTCCAAAAGGAGGAGGGGGTCACCGGAGCTTTTTTTGAGGGGGTTGGTGACGGTTGGGCCCACGCTTTAAGAATTCCCCTTGAGGCAGCTCTGTTGAGGATGGAGCAGGATTGCGAGAGACTTGAAGCAGAGAATCTAGTAATAGGCTAGTAGGCGATGAGGGCCTGAACTTAGCTAGGCTATGGCTGTGCAGGAACAGTGAGTAGGACTTGGTATCCAATTATATGTGTGGGATTGAAGGAAGAGCACAAAGTCCAGTCTGACTCAGGCTTCCAACCTAGGTGATAAGAAGGATGGCGGAGCTCTTGGCAGACATGCAGGTTTGGGAGGAAAGATGATCAGTTCTGTTATGAACTTGTTCAGTTTGAGATGACCTTGGACACCTCCAATTGAGAAGTATCAGGGAAGCTGTGGATGTGGGAATGGAGTTCCGGGGAGAGTGAGGCTTGACAAAGATCTGGGAGTTATCTGCCAAAAGATGGCAGTGGAACTGTGGGAGCTGACCAGATGACCAAGAGAGGATGGAGCAGAGATCCCAGGACAGAGCCTTGGGGCACGCCCATGGGCAGGAGGACTGTCAAGTCCCACCCAGTGATCAGATTCTTAAGTGCTGCTTCATTTTCAGCTTAGAGGCTCCCCAGTGCATATAGTGCCCAATTGTTATTATTATTATTATTATTAAATAACTTGAGTCCTTGCTGAAGCTTTAGTTACTGTACTACACTGTAGCTGTACCTCCCTAGAGACTCCCTCCGTCATGGCATGGAGATGATGCTCTGGGTTTTCATGGTCCATGCCAGCAGATCTCAAGCTCAGATGGATCCTGCCAGGCTCAGAAGGGCCCAGGGTTATGAACTGTGTGCCTGTTATCTGTGAACCAACATGGCCAAGTTTTGAGATAGTCATCACTAGAGGATGGATTTTTTATGAAGATGACCTCCTTAGAAATGGAGGGTTTACATTCTGCTTTCCTCCGGACTCACAGTGTTTTTAAAAGTATAGATAATAGCTATATATTCAGGATCATGAGTGATTATCCTGTCTTTTCTTAAAGACCTTTAGTGAGGAGAGATCCATTTCCCAGGCATTTCATTCCATTTGGAGATAAATCTAATTGTAAGGAAACTTTCCATCTGCTAAAATTTGCCTTTGAAATTTCCTCTCATTACATGCAGGTAGCAATACATAAGTGTTTATTAAGTGCCTGCTTTATGCTAGGCACTGTTATGCCTTAAATCAGTCTGATGCCCTTTTTGTGTGACGTCCGTTCAGAGAGTTGCAGTTACTTTAACCTCGTCTCAATGTCACCTAAAATTATTTCAGATTTTTTGGCTCCTCTGTTGCTTTGTTGACTCATTGAGCTGGTGGCCCACTAAGACCACCAACTCTTTTATCTAGCCATATAAATGCTCTTATACTCAAGGAATTGATTTTTCATATCTAAGTATAAGGCCTTACATTTACTTATTAAATCTCACCTTACTCACTTTAACCCAGTGTTCTAGGTTGCTATAATCTTTCTGGATCCCTGGCATTTAGGTTTATAACTGGCAAAGCACTCTAATTTCCAAAGGAGAGTATTGTTTGGAGGCCAACAGTGAGACTGATTAGTAGTTATACCAGGTTTGGTATTCATCAGCATCGTCGTGGACGTACGTCGTGGTGCTCTTCTGGAGTTCGGCGTCCACCCGTGGCAAGTGGAGCTGAGGTATCCAGATCACTCCTAGCCGTTGTCCCGTGCAGAACAGGGACTGCAGAAGGGCCTTGATCTGTAGTTGAAATGGGCTTCATCTACGAAGTCTTGATGTTGTGTCCTCATCGAATAGCTCCCCACACTCTGGAGAAGCCAAAGATGCTTTGATGGCTTCAATCCAAAGTCATGACCTGGCCTCCCAGCCAATCCACTCTCTACCTATAAGGTTGTGCTTGTGATAGGTCAGATCAGTTCCCAGCCCTGGGAAGGAAATCTTATGCTAATATTCCTATCGGCTTATAATCAAACAGCAGGAGAGAATATATTGGCACAGATTCAGAGGATCGTATCCCGTGAGGGAAACCGCCTTCACTGCTATCATTCATGAAGGTGTGGATCAAACAGTCATTATTCCAAATGCATTTACCAACACCATGATAGATAAGCCACAAGAAGAGGTGATAGTAGATGCCAGAGGTGAGCACTTCCACACTGGTGTAAGCCCCTATCCCAGAGGCATCAAACCTCCTACCAGTTCGGTTTGCCAGCCTGGCATCTGCTGTTGACTTCTGAAGAAGCAGAGAGCGTGCCTGAGGCCAGAGGGGACACCTGGGCTCCAGAAGCTCTCTACTGCAGCCGCTGGTGGGATCTGATGTGCCAAAGAGGAGGCTAAGCCAGACTGTCTTCAGAACATCAAGGGGATTTGGAGTTTTAGGGTTTGAACCCTAAAGCTCAGTAAGGAGGAAAACAAACAACAAGGCCTCTTCAGGAGATAGACCATGCTTGAGTCTCAGGACTATCCTGTGGTCACCAAGGGTTGTGTATGAGCCAGTGAACTCCTTTGGCTCATGGTAAAAAAGGTTTCTTTGCCTAGAAGTTTTCCAAGACAATGAAGTCACCAGACCAGCCACTATCCCTAACGATGGCTCACTTTGTGAGGTTTAAACTCTTTTATCCCAACCACTCTGTGATGTAGGGTCAAGTACTATCTTCCATTTTACAAGTGATGAAGCTGAGGGTCATGGTGGAGCTCTCCAGGGGTTTTTGTAGGTTTTTCTCCTTTTGTGATCCCATTGATGTCATCAGTGTGTACGTGGGGGTGTTGAAATCCTACACTGCCCCTCCAACCACAATTTTTGATTTTTGCATTATTATATTTCCCGCTTGTGTTCCTTGCCAGTGGTTTCCTTCCCCATTCCTCCTTGGTACAGATACTGGCTCTGTTAGCGTTGCTGACTTCTCCCTTCATCTTCTCTTCCTTTTCCTTGTTTTTTGGTTTCATACTGCTTTTCGTGACCTCGGCTTTAGCACTCATGGGGCTCGACTTTCACTCAGTCCTTGCCATCTCTCCTTTCTTCTCCTCCGTCACCTTCCTGTCTTCTGTTTCCCTGGCTGTTTTCATTGGTGTTCATGCGCTGAGGTTTCTTTGGTGACTTTTGCCCTTACAGCTCTTGCAGATTTGGGGGGGGGGGCTGGCTGAGTGGGCAAGGCTGTCATTGGCATCAGGAAGGTACTTATGTCCTTTTTTCTGTATTTCGTCTCAGGCCTGTCGTACACGAGTCACACGGTTGGCTTCACACCCCCGACATCGCTGACCCGAGCCGGAGTATCTTACTACAACTCCCCTGGACTCCACGTGCAGCACATGGGAGCTTCCCATGGTATTACAGTGAGTATCTTGTCCCAGAAAGTGAGAGTGGGACCACAGTCTGGCCAGCCCAGCACAGATCAATCATTTGTGAATTCGTCTAAACTCACTTTTAACCTGTCGTCTTTGACATCAGCTTGACACTGACATCTGAAATGGTAAAATTAACACTTTTTCCAAAAAAAAAAAAGAAAAAAGTGATTCCCAGGAAAAATGTTAGTAATTAATAAAAAAGAGATTGTGCTTCCTCCATGTAGCTGCCTTGGGGGGTGAAGGCATAGATGTGTAAACAAAGGATGGGGTCCCTTTACTTTCTGCTCCTGCGATGTTGAGCTCTGCCTTCCTCACTTTAAAGAGACAGCGCTAGCTCCCCGTGATTTCTGACGTTTTTCATTGCCTGTGCCTTCAAGCTGTTGGCCTTCCTCTTGCCTTTCTGAAATTAGTTGTTCCCTATCGCAGCCACATCTTGGAGCTGCTCCAAACCAAGGACGTTTTTCAGTGACCTTATTACCACTTCCTGTCCCAGCCCCTCTCTGATGCTAGGGTGACCCATGAGAATTCCTTAGTCTTTGTCCTTGGCTCGTGGGATTCAATCATGCAGCTTGAGCTGGAAGGGACTTTAGAGGCTGTGGGGCCCTCCTTTTACAAATGGGGAAATTGAGGCCCAGAGAGAGGAAATAACTTGCTGAAGGTCATACAGGAAATAAGAACCAGAGCCAGAATTTGAACCCAGGACCTTTGATTCCAACCCCAGGACTCTTTGCTGTGCCATTACTCAGTTCAACAAACACTGGATCTCTCAAACCAAACCGGGGCAGGACCAAATTCACCGCTGTTCATCTGTAGATTTACTGCTTAGAATCATCAATTTCTTGCCCCCAAACTAACTTCTGCCACTTTTCTCTCATTCTCAAGAAAAATTAATTTTCTTTTCTAGTTAGCACCTTCATTTTAAAGTAAATCACCTTTCTAAACTGTTCACTTTATGTCCTTCTGCCAAGGAACAGAGATGTTTGAGGTCCAGCCTTGCTTTTTGTTTGCAAGGAAGTGAGCTGGCTGTAGGAATGTGGACATCTTGGACACCATTGGGCACCCCATTTCTGGTTTTACAATATTAATGTTCATAGTTTATTTCCGTTAGGAATTTTTGTTAACAGTTATAGGGCAGCGTGTTCTCAATGAGTATATGTATTTCTGGGTGGTCTCAAAAAGAGCTCGTGTTTGCTCATAGAACTTTTGTGATAGTTTCTAGTGTACATGCACGTATGCATGTGTGTAACTCAACTCCCCCACCCCCCGATCACATGGCTTGGACAAAGAGGGGCCATGAGAGGCTGCCTGTTCAAGCCTCTCTCTTGGCAGAGGAGCAGTCTTAGCCAAGAAGGAAGCGTGTCCAGTGATGAGGCTGGAGGATGTCTGAGACCACCCAGTCCAGGCCAAGCCTGAGGAAGACTCCCTTGTCCGGCTTCCCTAACAAAGGGTCTTCCGGCCGTGACTTGAAGAGTTTTGAGGTCCACTACTCCAGCGGTTCTCAGACTTTTTGGTTTTAAGACCCCTTTACATTCTTAAAAATTATTGCATCCACTGCCCTCCAAGAACTTCTGTTTCTGCTTTTATATATCAGTATTTGCCGTATTAGAAATGCAAACCTCTTAATGTTATTGTGAAAAGTTTTGGCGTCATGGACTGCCAGAAGGGGAGGTAGGGGCCCTGAAGTGCCCTGAGCCATGCTTTGGGGAATTTGTAGTTCAGAATCAGAAGGTCCTTCGGGGGACTTCTTTAGTGTCCCACCTGAGCCAGTTGACCCTTGGGATAGTTTCTCATTTGCCGTCAGAGAGTATGAGAAATGTGCCCTGGTTTGGGAAGAAGAGCCTCCTCTTGGGTAGCTTAGACCGCTTCCCCGGGCCTCTATCCACAAGCATTTATTAAGCACCTGCTGTGTGCCAGATAGACACTTCTCTGTCCAGAGAGGGTCTGGGACTCGATGACTCCTGCAGCCCCGCCTGGCACCCCCCAATCCTTCCCCTGGCTAACCTGGATTTTTGCTCTCCATCTGCAGAGGCCTTCACCCCGGAGAAGCAGCAGTCCGGACAAATTTAAACGCCCCACGCCTCCGCCATCTCCGAACACACAGACTCCTGTCCAGCCGCCGCCGCCTCCGCCCCCACCACCCGTGCAGTCATCCCTCCCGTCTGCCGCCTCGCCACCTCCAGCGCACCCTCCCTCACAGCCCTAGTGCATGCGCTCCAGCAGGTGGGCTGCATCGAAGGTGGGGACTCTGGAGATGGAGCCGTTGACAAAAAGCCAGAGGCGTCCCTGGCACCTGGGGCTCCCTAGACTTCACTATTAATGGTGTCATAAATGTTTGTCCAAAATGCAGCCAGCCTTGTGGGTCTGTGACACTAACCCCCTAGAACAACCTTTTTCCATCAGTGTTTACTTGAATTTACATGTAGGTTTATTTTCTGGCTGGAACATGTGCTCCTTGATATTTGGTAACTTGGCAATGCGCCGTTTGCTCGGCTCTAGAGCGCTTTTTTTTTTTCCCTCCTGGCTTTTAGGTTGGTAAAATAAAAGGGAGACCTGTTTGCCTTCCCTGTCCCCCTGCCCCCATGGCCATTAGCATAAAGATGGCAGGCTCGATGGCCCATATCTTAGTAAACTTATAAGAACCGTGGTGTCTACCGAGCATCTGAAAGGACAGATTTGAACGTCAGCTTCATCAGTGCCCAGGGTGCGCCAATTGATACGCCTTTTCCGCTGATACAGTGTCATAAGCCGGTGGGTATGATACATTGTTGGGTAATTATCACTTGTCCAGGTACACAGAACGTAAGGTTCCTGAAGCTCAAGGTGGGGCTATTTCTTTGATTGTTCATGTCCACCTCCCTGTATTGCTGTAAGCTGACCATGCTGTTATTTCCAGCACAGTTCTGTACAAGTCATCTTCCCCCATTCCCACCCACCCCCATGTCTTGGGGGACCAAGTCAAAGATGCTGCCAAATATGGCATCGTGGGAGGCCCAGATTTCCCTTCCTGTCCCCCACACCATGCGCCCCTTCCCCTGCCCAGCTGCCATCACCACCAGGCGATTTCCCAAAACACAGTTGGAAGAAGTATCTTCAAGAAGCAGATTCCTGCTAAAGACCATGATTGAGAACAGTCATTGTAGGAATATCGGCCTAGTCGCCAAGAGATACTGTGTTGCTCGGGAGAAGGAGAAGAAGCGAAGTGAGTCCGCAGTCCCTGGAGACACTGTGGGATGCTCACTGGACAGGAACCGGTGCAGTGTGTGTGCAAAGACTCGATCCCAAGGACAGTCCTCTCAGACCCTCCTTTAGCAGCACAAGTACGTGGTTTGGCTTCACGACTCCATGAAACAGAAGGCAAGGCGCTCTTCCTTCATCCTAGCGAAACGCTCCTTTGGGTTCGGCAACAATTCCTGTTTTTGTACTTTGGTAATAGTGAAGTGATCTTCCCCACTTGTTATGCCGTGGACAAAAACCTTACTTACTAGAGAATGTATATTTTATGATGAGAATGTGTATCTATTCTGTTGGATATAATCAAAGAACTGAAAAATAATTTATCAGTCATTTTTCTTAAGAATTCATGTTTTGTGACTGAACCATCTCGAATGCCCCCTCTTATTGAACACATGCCTAAAAAAAGGAACACTGTAGATATTAAATATTGTGCAGTCACGTAAACTTTCATTTTTTGCCTTTGAATACCTACTTAAAAGTCTAAAGAAACTGACTGGATTAGAGTGCTGAGTAAACTCTAGAAAGGTAAAAACCATTATAAGATTTTCCTCCCCTTCCTGTTTCCATACCAAAACAAGGAAACATGTTTCTGGTTTCTAAGCATTTCAGAAAAAATCGTGTGTGTGTGTGTGTGTGCGTGCGCGCTATATGCATTTTATATTTAATAATGTGGATGTATTTTACATTGTCATTGTGTTTTCTTAAAACAACAATGCCAAGAAAGATCACATGAATCAAGCGACCAGTCTCCATACAGGTTCCCAGCAACTGCAGAGCCGATGACTCGGGTCTGCTGTTGTGACGTCTCAAACCCTGTAACTTCCTTGTGGGTTATGCTACATGCCCTCCCCTGCCCTCCAGCTAATTGAGTCAGTAAGTGAAATCACTTCTGTAACTGCACTAGGGATTCTCAAAGACGGGCTTAAGAAAACAGTAGGCTCTGCCATTCGAAATCTCTCCTCCAAGAATATTATAAATGACAGCGCTGCTAGGGAGCACAGCTTGCTTTTAAGAACTCATTGCCCAGAAAATTCATTTACCCCATCGAAAGCACAAAAGTCAGTGCTGTTCAAGAGAGTGAATGGGATGAACAAACGGTGATTCTCTTGGGTGGAAAGAGAAGTGTGTAAGAGATATATGTGAATTACAGTCAAAATTCTTGAAAAATTCAGATTTCCACAAAAGCAAACAGCCACTTTGTTCCAAAACTGGAAACTAGAATTACCCACTGTAAATGTAGCTGGCTGCCCCCTCCCCCACACCATGTGTACAGTATCTGTAGGACAAACATTGCTAATTGGTGTGTGATGTAATGGTCTTTGGCCCCCTTGTGTCATGTTACAGTATCAGCCCTGCAGCTGCCTAAGACTAACCATCCTAGGCGGTCATTGGTTGGGTCCATCGGAACTCGTGGGATCAGGCATGCTGAGCCCAAGAGAGGAAGAGAACTTTTTGTCTTTCCTGCTCTTTGCCTCATCACCCCCCTCCTTGGCATCCCAGCTACTGTTATTCCTGGGTGCCCCTCCTGCACTTATCACACCTTCAGCTGATGCTGTGAATGAACTGCAGTACCTGTTGGAAGTCAGTCGTGGTACCCACAGAGCTAGTTTTCCTACAGGTAGCCTGTGGCATATGTGAGCACACCCTTGGTACTCGTCACACTGAGAGTGTAGCCATCGCAATTAGATAAAGGGACGTAATCGTATCTTTATAGATGGCAGAGAAGTGGCCTAGTGGGTGTCAGGGTTCTGTGCAGTCTCCCTTTGGAGAATTCCGGTGGCTTGGCAGAAAGTAGAAATTCTTGTAAGGTTTCGTGCCTCTTGCCATCCTGTCGAGTTTGAGTGTTTAAAGGGATGAGCTCAGAAGATAATTCCTAGCAGTCATGAAATGCATGTGTGACCAGAATGTGACTTTGACACCAAGTGCTAGCCCCCCATGATTGATTGGCCTTTTTACAGTAGGACCAAAATAGTTGTGGCAGTTACCACTAAATGTTACGCAACTGTAAAGAGATGAGAGATTCTGTGTGGCTCCCCTCCTCCCCCCAGTAGACAGGAGATTTTTCCCACTGGAAGCCTTGCTAGGAGAGGAAGCCTCAGACACCAGAACAGAAGAGTAATTTGTGCTTTGAGATCTCATTATTTTTGCTTAGCAGTGCAGAAGTCTCTGTGTGGCTTGATCTTCTGGCTGGTAGTTGTCTGGTGGGTAACCAACACTGAAAACGTTGTAACAAGGACTACCAAAGAAGTACATAGCAAAATGATGGTTGATTTCCAGATGATTAGTGAGCCAGTCATTGAAGCTGCTGCATGAGTTCCATGCTAAAGAGCCATTATAACAAATTAAGGGAGAAATGAAACACCGCACACAGCTGTCAGCCTGAATGATGGGGAGCATTTTCCCAGGTGCTTGGCAGTTTTTGTAGTGATGAACTGCCAAGTCTGGACTGCCTCTTGTTAGGGGCAGTATCCGCTATTCCTAAGGGCATGGGTGTGTGTGCGGTGTCTATGTGTGTCTGTGTGTTCATTCATGCCTTAACTCTGGTTACTGCTCAAATGTAGTTCTCGATTTAGTCTGCCTTGTCAACAAGTTTGTGTGGTGCTTCTCGATCTGAACTTCATCCTGGCCAAACCACCCCCCTCCCAAAAGAAAAAGTGTCACCAATAGCAGCTAAAGAACTGATTTCCTCAGAACATTATATAATCAGGTCAACCCCAAGTCTCCTTTGGTACTTACAAAGTCATATAAAAGTGAACTGGAGAAGTGGAAGGAATTCACCAAGGAAAAGAGCACGTCTTCTCACAGCAACACCTCAGTCCCCGATATTAGTGACTCACCATGGTTTGGCCCCGCAGCTTGAGTAGATTCGGAGATGCAGTGGCAATCTTGACATTCTTGCTTGGTCAGAGTTTAGAGAGATGTAAGACTTCCAATTAATGTCTTTCTTTGCTTCTTTGTGTTGATTAGTCTTTGATACATGTGCTGAATCTGAAACCTGAATAAAGATAATTTTTTTTAAAATGGATCACTGAAGCCTTCAACCATACCGTTTTCTTGCTGATCTTGAGATCTGTAAGTTCTTCTGGTTTCTTTTTTGAAATTAAAAGTTCTCAAAGAAGAAGGTCAATAATCAAAGGTAAGCTATATCCGATACACCTCATAATAAGCTTCTCAGTGTTGAAATAATTTAGGAGGTTTTTTCCCCTCTCCCATTCTGTTGAATTAGGGAGGTTGCTTTTATTTAAAAAGAAAGAAGAATTTTCATCCTTTTCAACAAGTATTAATACTTTACTGTCCTTCGCATAGTCCCTACCTTTAAGGACTTTACATTGTATTGAGGAAATATATTTATACACAGATGTGGAAATAGAAGAGAGATGTGAGAGAGGAAAGAGCCCTAACTGGGGAAGATCAGGAGAGGCTTTTTGTAGTAAGTGGTGAGATAAAAGTCTAATGAGCAAAGTGGCTAAAGGTTCCCAAGAGTAAGAAAAGAAGGTGAAAATGAAAGCTAAGTCAACTTCATACCTTGAGCTAGGCTTTTCAAGGTATTGAAATACTCCGTTGAAGGGTTTTTTTTCTTTCACAAAGAGGGTTCCTTTTAACTTAACTGAAGAATGGTTTTGTAGTTATTTCCACTCTTAAAAATATATTGATTGTTTTGAAAAGAAATGTGTAAATAAGTTTCAGTGAGGAAGTGATTTGTTGCGTGTGTCTCCTGAAGGATTTAGAGCAGGGGTTTTTCACCTGGGGTCCATTAACTTTTAAAAATGTACATATATTGATAACTTGGAATATAATTGGTTTCCTTGGTGATACTATGTGTTTTATGCACTTAAAAACTTTCTGAAAAAGGGTCCAAAAACTTCACCTTGCTGCCAAAAAATGAGGGAGGAAAAGTCCATGACAAAAAAGGTCAGGAGCCCCTGATCTAGAGAGTAGGGTTATTTGTCCCACACCCAACATGTTAAGGTCACTCAGCCCACACTGGGTAGTGCTACCTTATGAGTCATCCACACGTTGCACTAGTGGAGACACTAACGTGTTCAGATACCTCTTATGTTAAACCTAAATCTGGCCCTTTACCACTTCTCATGGCCCCTGGGGTTTAGCAGAATAAAGCTAGTTCCTCTCCTTCATGATGGCTTTTAATTATTTCAAGACTGCTCCCGTGTTCCTGCTAAGTTTTCTCTAGGCTAAACATTCTCAGTTCCCTTCACTGATCCACTTTGAGGCCTTTCACCAGCCTGGTTGCCCTCTGGACATCTTCCAGGTTATCAATGACTTTCCTAAAATATGCTACCCACAGCTGAACCCAACCCTACGGGTGTGGTCTGCCCTGGGCAGTGGCCTGCAGAACCATCTAACCATCACTTCATTTCTGGAAACTGACTCATAGCCCGTATGCTTGCCATATCACATAGTTGACTAATACAGCTTTCAAAGCCCCCAAATCTTAATAGCAAAATCCCTGTTGCGCCACGCATCCTTCCCTTGGAGTTTTCTAAAAAATGCCAAGTTCAACGTGGCTGACTTGATACTTTCTAAATTTCAGTGGAGTGTAGGTGTTCTATCCAGTCGTGATCTCTTCTTATCTTGCTTATCCTCCACCAGTGTGGTAGCTATCCATTCTACCTTTGTGTCATCTACAGACTTGACAGATACCACCTATGCCTTCATCTGAGTCATCTACAAAAAGTATCAAGTAGCCCAAGGCCACACCCATCCTCAAAGGCATTACACTGAGGAATCCTCCAAGACTGACAAACCATTTATGACTTTTCAGCCTCTCTTTTTAAACCAGTTGAAGATCTGCTTGTACTGTCATCTGCACTCTTTCTCCCCACCTTTCCTATAAGGGTAGCACGAGGAGATTTATATCAAATGCTTTGCAGAAATCCAAGGACCCCATAGCATTTCCCCTAGTCTGCCAATTTAGTAATCACTTTATAAAAAGTTATAGGATCGTGGAAAACAATAACGAGTATTTACCTAGCCCTTTAAAGGTTTACGAAGTGCTTTGCAGGTATACAGACCTGGGGGAGGGGATCCATTTTCTGAAGATGAGGAAACTGAGGCAGACGGGTTAAATGACCTGCCCTAGGTCAGTGAAAACAGGCTCTCAGATTCTCCTGCCTCCTGCTATAAAGGACCCTGCCCATCAAGTCCATCCTCAACATGCAGAAAACCTAGGTCCCACAGGTCCATTGCCTACAGTCTGATCCATTTCCCATGCCCTTACTCCTCATCCTTTGCTTTGGTGTTGGACCCAATTCAGGGCCATGCCTGCATGCCCTCCAAGTTTGATTATGAATCCACTGGGGACCAAGACTCCCCAGCACTGCTGTGCAAGGCACAGAGCAGGGACTTGCTCAAAGAGTTGAGTTGAACGTTGAGATAAAGGAGGGAGTAGAAGAATGAAAATAAGGTCAAAATAAAAGGAAGGGAGATGAGGACAGAGATGAAGCTTACTGCTTGAACGTTACTTAGAGAAGAAATCGAGACAGCTGGAAATCACATTTCCACCTCTCTTCCATCCCCCCACACCCATCTCCCTTCCACTGATTCACATCAATAGACATTTAAAGATCTTCAAGACCTGCCCCCCTTTTATCTCTAGTCCCTTTATATTTGACTCTTCTTTCCTGTCTTTACAATCCAGCTATGCTTTCCTCCTTGTTCTAGTGCACACCGTTCCACAGTTCCCCCATCTCCCTCCTTTTGAGGAGGGCCCAGATCAGCCATCTGTCTTTACTCCCCTGCCTCTGCCTCTTTGGACTTTACCGCCATGTGTCTTAGCTGCATTCTCATCCTGGAAGATCCCACTGCCCTTGCAGCCCCCTTTTCCACCTTCATGCTCCTTTTACGGAAGGGCCCAGGTCAGCCATCCTTCATTTCTCTCCCAGCTCTGCGTCTGACTCATCACTGTCCACCATCCCTCTACTTGGATACCTCCCCCACTTTATTCCCACACCTACTTTCTAGCTCCTTTTATATGTCGCCTCTGTCATTAGAATGTCACTTCCTTGAGGACAGGGAGGGACTGTTTCATTTTTGTCGCTATACTCAGCATGTGTATGCAGGAGATACATAATAAATGTTCGTTGGTTTATTGATATAATGCCTTGTATGAGGCAGATGCTGCAGTGGACCCTGGAATACAAGGACAAAACTGCCATCTTTGTTCTCAGGAAACTTACATACGATCACAAAGTCAAGGCTGCACTGGGACCGAGGTGCAGGTGAAACCAGATGAAGAGATATTATTTATATAGAACCTTTTGGGTACCTGCATGCCCAGTGGGTGTGACATGGATGAAGATGGGGCAAAGGAGGAGGAGGAACAGCCTAAGTAGATGGCAGTATCAGTGCACAGTGAGCTGTCTTGTTTGTGGAAAGGGCCAATGAGGGAATTTATTTTGGTTGACTATTCATATTTGTTAGAATTTGTTTTTCTTTTCCTCCATTGAAAAGGGATGGTGCAGGGAAAGCAGATTTCTGTCAATTTTTTAAAAATAAAACTAAAGACAAAGAAAACTGGAGAATTGGCTCAAAAATGGCTTTAGCTTCAGGCTCTAAAATCACCATAGTCTTTGGAGATGACATGCTCTAAATGGCTTGAAATAGCAGCAGGTGCTTTTATGTTAGGCTCTGGGAATGAACATGACTTTCTTCTTAGAAGATAAGTAAACTCTTACCCCCTACTCTCAGGGACTATGTGCTTATAGACATTTTCAAAGCAATTTGTGCACACAGTGAGCTTCCAGACCCATCTCCCAACAACACTGAACCCACGCAATATTGACCCAGAATCAGCGATTGTCACCCAATCAAGCTTCTGTTATGTTACCTACCAAGTCTCTTCCTCAGTGAGTCCAGTCTTTCCCTCTACCTCAACTACTGTCCTCATACTAGAATGCTTCAACATACCTATTGATATGCTCTCAAATGCCCTCAATTCCCAGTTCTCCAATCTACTCAGGTCATTTCTTGCTATCACCCACAAGTGTGAAGCTCTTATCAGGTGATAATCTTTTATCATTATATCTTTCCCCATGCATTACTACCCTCAGTCCTCTTCTTTGTCCTCACTGTGATGTACAGTCCCTCCACCCCTCAGCTTTTCCCCAGGTCATCATCTCTGCATTTGCTACACACTTTTCCCTTCTCTATGTCAACCCCTCAAACCCTAAGGGAATCAGTTCAAATGGAGACCATCCTTGATAGACAAATCCCTTGCTCCTTTCTCCTGTCTCAGATCGTGACTTGCCAAATGCGAATCTTGGATTGCTCCCACCATCCTCCACACTCAACATGCAACTGAGTGGAGCTAGGAAAAAATCACAGAACGATGCTGACTGGTTTACTGAAAACTCATTCACTTTTCCCAACTTGGCCCTCATTGTGTCAAGGCATTCCTTTTATACCTCTCCAATTGACTTACTAACCCACTCACTACAATGGCTTTTCATCTGTGTACCTGGTACATCAGGAAATTAGAAGAACCAAGGAAACAGTGGGTACAGCCAACATTATAAAGAAAAACAACATCAATAGACTTGAGCACTGATCAGTGCCATGACCAATCAGTTCTAGAAAACTGACGATGAAGTATGCATAGTGTCAACCTGTTGACAAGGAGGTGATGGACTCAAGATGCAGAATAAGACACATTTTTAGGCGTGGGCAACATAGGAATTTGTTTTACTTGATTATGCATATTTTTTACAAGGGTTTTGTTTTTCTTTTTTCAATGGAGAGAGGTGGGGAGGAGGGAGATAGGCATAGGAAAGACGGTCATTGAAGCATTTTTTTTAAATGCATAGAAGGAAGGTCCAAAAGAATAACGGAAGCAGGACAGCCTTGAAAGCTGCAGGTTGGACTTATTATATATTTAAAAAAGAAAAGCCATTCATGTCAAGTCAACAAACATTTATTAAGCTCCTACGATGTGCCAGCCTATTCGCTACAAAGAAAGGTAGAAAACTGTCTCTTCTTGAGGAATGCATGTGAATGGGGAAGACGACA